GTCCCAGTCCCAGTCCCAGTCCCAGTCCCAGTCCCAGTCCCGGTCCCAGTCCCAGTCCCAGTCCCAGTCCCAGTCCCAGTTCTCCAGTGAATCAATCACCCACTACTCACAGGCGGAATGATGCCCACCTCATCACCCGGAGAAATCACCATATCCAACCCGACACCCGAACCTTCTTGATCTTTTCCGTCTTCTCGTCGATCTCTCCCATCATCCCTCCCACCGACCAATCTCGAATCCCTCTGCACATCCAAATCCGCCAAATCCAGTGAATCCACATACTCCAGATTAAACGTGACCGCCGAACTTTTCAGCACTTTCTCCGTGAATCCAGGGAACCTGGTCTCGAGACCACGAAACACAGACCGCAAGGTCGTCGGCGCCGGAAGGACCATTGTCTCGACGTTGTTGGCGTATGTGGATGCCGAGGCGAAGAGGAGGAGTGTGAATGTGCCTGTAGCTGTAGCTGTAGCTGTTGAAGATCCCGTCGTCCTTGGTTCCAGTCCTCCGCCAGCATCCACACCTCTTCCACGGCTCCGAGTTGGACTTGTTTCCTGTTCCATATTGGAACTCGTTCCGTTCCGTTCCGTTCCTTCTTCTGTTTGTTTGTTTGTTTGTTTGTTTTTCTTTTTTTCTTTCAATTCCGTTTCGGTATCAACAAAGTCTGCACAACACCACCGGTCTCGGTCTCGGTGTCTGTCTCTTTCTGTCGCAGTACTTCTGGCTCCCAAGACAGTCACACAGTCTTTTGCCGATTTTGAACCGTACCAATTTCAGTTGATGTAATTCCCTTCCTTTGATGGTGCGGCACCACTGCCACTTCTTCCTGCCCCCCAATTCAACAAGGGCGTTTTTGTGCCCCTGGCCCTTCAAGGCATTGAATTTATCACCAACTGAAAAACCCCCCACCCACAAAAAGAGAAAAGGAAAAGAAAAAGGATTCCAAGTCACCATTCAACAACTTGAAAGTATCGGCAGCGGCATCATCCACAGACAGACAGACTGAACTGATGGAAAGTAATCAGGTTTTCTTTCGCAACCACAACAGTCCCCAAGCCGAGTTCATCCGGATCCTCTGATCCGAATATCCTGTGTCCAGTGCCCAGTAACCAGTGCTCCGTGTCAACATGGACGTCGGATCTTCGAGCCCTCTTCGAGTTTTGTTTTCGTCTTATCCCGTCAAGTCTCGAGTGCTGGCTTCTCGCCTGCTACCGGCTATGGCCTTGAATAACTGCGAGAGCGGCAGATGAGAGACTCTGAGCGGCCCTCAAGATTGTTCGTTGGTCGCCTCTGACAACTTTGCACGACACTACGTGCACGGCCGTTGATGAACGCCAACACGGAATATCAATTATCCGAAGACGGGACGGCACATGCAGTCGGTCATCTCAGCTTCCACTGCATGGGATTATATTTCCGGCACCATCTACAAATGACATCACCGTACCTCGGTTTATGACATGCAATCCTTTGCAGAGTGCAGAGTAGCTCAGTCACTTTGATTTTGTCTTCACATTGTTATGGCAAAAGAGGAAAATTATGGCTATGTGCACGAGTGCCGTGCCATGCGATGTGCATACACACAATAGGGATCCGTCCCTTTTTCGATATGCAGAGTAGTATACCTAATGTAGGTAGTTCAACCCTTCCACGATACTCAAGCATAAGGGTTTTGGGATATCAAATCATCTTCTCTTCATCTGAACCGACCCTTCACCAATAGCACCGTATGTTCTGGCCAGACACTCGGCTCTTTAATGCTCAAGCAGTCTCAGACTTCCTTGAACCACGACGTTCTCCAAAATCGAACCAGGTGGGATATCAATTGTGCTGTTTTCGGTCGCGACAATGATGACAGTACCTAAAACCACAGTTAGCAGACGGATTCGACCCGTGCGACCAGACTCCAACTTACCCTTCAAAACAATACCACGACCAAAGTTGACGTCGCCAGTGACAGTCAAGTGATCCAATTCGACAATGTTGGGAATGCTGCTGATGCGCTTCTGGAACTGAGCCACCTTCTTGAAATCACTACCGAGTTTGATCAACGGAGCAGGACCGAATCGGTTGGGATCCATGATCAGTTGACCATGGCTCAGAGTGTAGAGGTTGGATTTCACAAGCATCAGGTCAGAGCAAGTCTTGACGGGCAAGAATCGTCGACGCGGAACATTGACACCATGAGAGTTCTTGAAATGCTTGATGGCGGCACCGACGGCAGTCTCGAGTTGAATGATGCTGATGTCGGCCTCGCCCTTCTTGTCGGCGGGAATGGTCTTCTCGTTGGGAATGATTTCCATCTCCAGCTCATTGTTCTCGACCACGCGCTTGATGGCATGGAGGTTCATCCAGATGTTGTTGGTGTTGAAGTACTTGAACTTCTTGATCGACTTGAACTCATTGACATATTGCTTGGGAACTTGGGCAATTTCCAACAGTCTGACTTTGCCTTCGTAGTCGATGATGGTACCACCCTTGACATCAGCCTTGGTCTTGTCGGTCAACTCCATGATGTACTCAGCCTTGCTCTCAACCATGTGTTGCAGGATGCGGAGATCGACGACGGCGCCCAGGTTGTCGGCATTGGACAAGAAGATGATTTCAATGCCGCGGTCAAGCAGCTGGTCAAGAATGCCACTGTTGTACATGGACTCGAACACGTCTCCGTGACCAGGGGGGTACCAGTCGGACGTTTGAGAGTCGTAGGACTTTGGAACGGGCAACAGAGAATCCTTGTAGACACGCGGGTAGCGGGATTGGTTGAAGGTCAGGATGTCGATGTTGTGACCCTCGTACTTCTTGATGATGGACGCGGTGTCTTCATCAGTGTTGAAACTGTTCATCAAGACAAATGGGACATTGACATCATAGGTGCGGTTGAGGTACTCGATCTGGCGGACAGACAGGTCCAAGAATGACATGCCGTCTCGAACCTCAATGACAGACTTGGGACCGACGCAACCCATCGACGTACCCAGGCCACCGTTGAGCTTAACCACGGCAAGCTTGTTCAAGAACTCGACAGCATCGCCGTTGGGCAAATCATCGTAGTTGACGACTTGATCTGGGTTGGGAGGGTTAATCTTTGCCCAGTCAATGGTATTTCCCTTTGCTCGGTCGTTGAGATATCTTCTGAACAGTGCAAAGAAGTTGTCCATCTCCGCCTCAAATCTCTTCTTTTCCGCAGGATCCTTCACCGTGTCCGCAAGGGCGTTGAGGGCGTTTCGCATCTGACTGGCCGCGACATTGGTAGAGGTGTTCTCGAAGGCCTGCATCGTGGGAGACTTTGTTAGCTGATGATGTTGATGCTGCGGAGGAGGATGAAGATAATTGGCGTTGCTCTTGTGCAGGTCCAAAGGTGGAGGAGGTTGAAGGAGAGGCATTGTGTGCGTGTTGTGAGGAAGAAGAGGGAAGAACAAAGCAGCGGCAGTGAATAAAAGGAGTTTGTCCACCGCATCCAAGGGCAGCTGGCTCTGGGTGAGAGGACGGTCGAAATGAGTGACTTGGGCGATTTAAGAGGCAACTGCCCAGCTTCAGCGATATCTGTGAGACACTCGCATGACCTGGGAGCGGGTGCTGGCCAGATCGTGGTCGCAGGGGCCCGTGCGGTGGGAAGCAACGACGTATTATTTCAATATTGCGAGTCGAGAGCGCTGAATTGGGAAGCAGCACGTCGGTCGTCGCACTTCGTCACTTACCACATGAGATTGTGTCTTGCCATGGTGTCTCTTCTCAGAAGGCGCGCCGTTGCTACCGTTGCCAGAGGCGGCTGAAGGACGAAGGTGGGAAGGAATGGCTTTGGACGCCATGGTTTTGGTTTCAGACAGTGGAAATTGAGGTTAGGGACTGTACAAAGGCGGAACGGAACGACTCGGAGGGACCACTCTCAGCTAGGGACCGGTGGTGAACCTGACCGGACAGCGACAGTGAGGATGAGGCAGAGATATTCCACCGACTGCAGCAGAGAAGGTGGAGGATGAATGTTGAAGAGTGAATAGCAAGGATAGAGGTGGGAGAAAAAGATTGGAGGAGTTCAAGTGGAAGAGAGGGATGATGAAATGGCGGGTAGAAGAACAGAGATGCGCACAGCACCACTATTAGTAGCTGGGTACTACTACAGCATCATTGTTATGGTTTTAGTGCTACTACTACTGACAGCTCAAGCTGGACTGGAGGCGGGCCAAAAATGCGGAGCGATTCAGTTCAGTGGGCGATGGCGGTGGGATGTGCGTGTTAGAGCTTCTTTCCCACCGTAAACTACCACTACAACTGTACAACGTACACGGTGAACACCACCTGCAAGCTTCTGGCGGTCCGAGGAGAGGAGCCGACAGCGACGATTCTAACCATTTTATTGTATCATCGGTGTGATGCTCGGTAGCTCTCGATCAGCCACTTCGATTTTGAAGTGTGCCAGTGGTTGACGGTGGAAATGCATTCACCGATGAACCAGCTCTGCCACTGCTGTTGCCCCTGCTACTGCTAGTAGGACCTTCGGTGCTGCTCCTGGTCGAGTCCTGCATGTGCATCTGCCTGTCCCTGTCGCTTTTTCTTCTGTTCTGTTACTGTTACACTGCAGTCCACTGGCAGTGGCACTGGCAGTTCAAGGTGCAGTGGACAGCGACGACGTCAGATCGGCGCAGTGGAAATCCGTGGCATGAGGCGTCATTGGCGGGCGGAAGTCACTGCCCTCAAACCTGTGATGTCGTTTCTGCGCAGCTCCAGCCCCTTCCGGCGAATGACATGGACCCCGGTGGACACGCCTCGACTGGAACCTGGGAACACAAATGAGCGGTCGACGATACAGTTGAGAGAGCCGCAGGCAGTTCAACTTGATGGTACACAGTACAAGCAAATAAAAAATCAACTTGAAGTGCCCTAGAGTAACATTGTAGCAAATAAAAAATCAACTTGAAGTGCCCTAGAGTAACATCTGCAAGATATTCCAATGTGGCTTTCAGCAATTAAATATCTCTCTCCTTCTGTCAACGCCCCCTGGTCAGTGCCAGTGTGATATTGAAGTGTGGTGGATCAATAAACCGGTGTGACTTTCGTGTTCGATCTGGTGAGACAGCGTTCTGGAACCTGCTCTCCCACCGCTGCTCCCACTAATTTAATTAGTGCCAAACCGCCCCCATCATCGTGCTAAATTCATTGCCCGCCCACAGCATCGCACCATCTGGCTGAGAAGGTCGGAACCAAACCGCCACCATCACAAATTTAAATTATACAACATTGTACAGTTGTATAGCACTCTCAAAGACACAAAAGGTCCAGCACTGCCTTGCTACCCCGGACAGGTTCGATGCCTTTGTCAGTCTTCATGGAGGCACTGTAGGCGCACCTTTGGGATACCACGGATACTATACCCCATACCGGGTTTCGTTGACTCAGTATCAGGCGGTGTAATAATATCCATTACTAGTAGCATCAGCCAACCCTTCATTCCCCAACCAGCTCGAAGGATATGTCTTGGTATCACTGCAGCCAACAGCATAAACTTGAGCTTGAACAACGTCTCAAGGCACAAGGCGACGAGCCTTGCACCGGTCTCCTCTGCCCCAGGATTCAATGCCCATGATGAAAGATAGCCACCCTCCCCTTCAAGTTTTAGATAGTATGCTTTCCTGATCAAGCATCATGTCTACCACTCACATCCCTCCGTCCAAAGAAACTTCGTCGTCCCTCTCGCCTTGAATCTGGACTATCTCGCCCACTGCTGGAGGGCTTGAGGCCGTCGGTTGCTCCGACGTCGTTCGGTGTAAAGCTGCTTCGAATCGTGACCAATCCAGACCCAGCCTTGACAGTCTGTTCGGAACCGCCTCCCTGATCAGACACGAAGAAGAAGCCTTCGCCCAGATCTCGAGAGCGGAAAGTGTCCTGATCCTTGACCACAATCTGGAATTGTGTGTCTGCCGAGCACGCAACCTTGAAATTCTCATGGCTGGTATCGTACTCAACAACTCCCGTGCTCGACTTGATGGCTTTGGTCTTGTACAACTCCTTCGCTCCTTTAGAGCCCAGCATCTTGACGTGAACCCGGACATCCGCTCCAGGAGGATATCCACTAGCTGAGACAATAATGAAACTTGCCGTACCCGTCTCTCCCCCTCGCGGGGTGCTCGTTGCCGTCGAGTGACTGCTCTTGGTGCGGTTATGCATGAAGCTTGAAGGCGTCGCGGGAGATGCGGTCCCATCCACCAAGGCAGGAGCTTTGGCCGGCGTCGAAGTTGTTGGCGTCAAGGTCCCATCATCTGTCGCCACGGCTCCATCAACACTAGACGGCGCTTCTTCCTTGCTTCCTCGGCCGGTCAGGCCGCGCTTGATGAAAGATGCTCCTTTCACCACTCCGCCGCCCACTTTGCCAACCCCTTTGACGGGCGCGCCAATCACCTTGCCAGCTGGCGCAAAGGTCCCGGAGAAGGTTGAGGTTCCCTGTCGGGACCGGACAATGTAATCGGGCTTGAACAACAATCTAAGTCGGAGAACCCCTGACTTCCCATCTAGAGTGTAGCGTAGTTCCTGAGGTTGGAAAGGTTCGAGGACCTGCAGATTGATCTGCGCCGAGCCCAGGTGATCAGCCTTGTCGCCAAAGTCCCAGTCATACACGTCAACCTTGAAATCGGCGGCCGTTCTCGAAGGCACTGCCACTTCAAAAAATTCATTCCAAGCCGGGTGGAGAGTCTTCTTCTGGGTTTTGGTCTTGTACACTTCCTTGCCGTTAAGTCTGAATCGGCAATATGGATCACTGTATCCGTTCCGGTCCGCGGATGGCAGATCAGCCGCGTCCAACACGTCCACTCGCAAGGTACCCATGTTATTGATGCTCTCGCTTGGATCGAGCTGCATCTTGACAGGCAAATACTTCAGGATAACGACGACCTTGTTTACTGCCCCATTGTTGCTTCGCAGTGTGAGCTCAGTGGGCTTATACAGACATTGCTGGAGGGTGGTGAGGGTTGGACCGGTCAGCTTGGCAACGATATTATCCTCGTCCTGCTTTCCAGTCTTGTCTGCTTTCTCTGTGAGCCGTAGAGTAATTCGAGACATTTCGATTTCGCGGACCATGGCATCGCCAGTTTCGCCAAAATGATGGTCTCGTTGTCGAATCTTGGACGAGCTGTAAGCGGGAAATGCATGGTCATCCATCAGCACCTCGAGGTGAACGTCTGTGGTAGAGAAGTGCCCTTCAACAAGATTGAAAACCAGGAGTCCGGATTCTGCGACAAAGTTAGCACAGTGCGGCAAATCTCACGACATCGACCTACCATATTTACTGAGATCCTCTGCTGTTATCCTGATCTTTGGCGCTTGTTTCGCTGGAGCAGAAACAACTGAACTGTTGATAGAGGGGGCTCCGTTGGCTTGACCGCCCAGCCTGCCAACTGTATCGAGGCTCTTCCGGAGGTCGGTGCTGTCCCGAGGTATATCGACAGAGCCTTTGACGTCAACTGACGACTTCTTGCTATGGGAAGGTTGGGAAGGTGTCCCAGGCGGACTTCCAGGACCATCGATTGCGGCCTGAGCTTTACGCTCTTCCTCTTCTTCCTCGGGGTCGATCACATTGTAGGTCGGGTAGAAGGCAACGGTGTACTCAACGGTGCCCTTTGATTCACCAACTCCCCCAAGCCGTAATCCCTCAGAAAGAGGTGTCTTTTCGTCATTAACTTCGTACCCACCTTCATCGCTCTCTCTGATGTAGTCCGAGGCCGGAAACTGTACCAGGCCCAAAGAACGGTCCTTTCCGAGCTTCTCCTCGTCCATGACCTCCAGGATGAGCCTTTCAGATGGCGAGTGGACGGGAACATAGATGACTTCGTCCCACTGGGGGTTTAACTCGTTCTGGAATGTGACTGTGCGGCCTTTTGGGATTCCTGATAGCAGCACTCTGGCGTACGGATCTGATTTGCCCAGAGTCTCGAAGTTTCGGAGGTTGTGGGCGCTCTTGACGTGAATACGCATCACGCCGATGGGAGTGATGTAGCCTCCGGATCCGGTAACGCCCTTCAGCTCAACCGGCTTCCATTCAACCATTAATTTGACCTTGCCAGTCTTGGCTCCGTGCAAGTTGAACCACTCCTGGCCTTTGTCCACGAGTTTCAGTAGATCATCCAGCTTGATCTGGTAACTGCCTATGATTGGATCAGTGGCGAGTCCTCGACTATCCTTGATCACCAATCCGATCCTCGCCTTCTTCCGGTCAGTGATAAGCACGGATTTTGTGTTATCAGAAAACACGGGGTTGTTAGTGTGCTTGAGCTTGTTGGTTATGTGGACTTCCTTGCCATTCAACAATAGCACGGCATAAGGATCTAGAGCTCCAACCATACTCTTGCTGGGGTCGAGGTCCTTGGCTTGCTCGACAGTGATACGAGCGATGCCAGTGTTGGATTCGGGAGGTGGCAAGATTTCGCCAGTCGGGAGTTTCTCAGATTCCAAGACAGGGAAGAAACGGACATCTGCTTGAATCACACCTCGAGGTTTGCCATTGGCCAGGACGCTGAGAGACAGACCTTCATGCTCAGAAGCGGTCTCAAGTTGGTCCAGGGCAAATGTTGCCGTGCCGAGATGTTTGTCCTTGCGAACATCATTGTAATCATATACCTGTAGGGTAAGCGCGTCTGTGTAGTTGGTAATGATAATGTAAAGTGTTTCGTTCCATCGCGGATTGTGGTCGCCGTGAATCGTTTTAGTTCGTGCCAGCTCCTTTGCACTATTCAGTGAAACAACGACATATGGATCTGGCGTACCGGAGAACTTGTCGGGGTTCTTGAGCCCATGAGCGTTGTAGATTGTAACAGCCACGACGCCGATTGCCAGGTCGATTGGGTTACCAGACAACAGCTTGGCGACCTCGATGGGAAAGACATTTGGAGCGTACATGATAGGTGCAAGGTTTCCGTGGATCTGTTCTTTAATAAAGCTTTCGAGTCCGGGGATGAAGTTGATGTCGAATCCAAATGTCTCCCCTCCGATAGGCTTGCAAACGTAGTCAATCTCCGGCCGTTCCAGGAAAGAGATATCGACTCGTTCGATATGAGGAAACGGGATTTGCAGCTTCATCCGTACCCGCATCAGCCCCGAGAATTCAAAGTCTTCGACGATGACCTTCATGGCCTTGCTAACCACACCTTTGCCAATGCGGATTTCCAGGACTACCTTTGGGTTGATCTTGTTTTTGAGCTGCCGGACCGTCATATCCATTGTATCGGTGGGCGTAAAGCTAAACTTCCAGTCCATCATGACAATGTCGTCTTCAGATTTCGGATAGGTCTTGACGTGGTCCAGGCGGGGAGGCTTGGTGCCTAGAATGAACGTCTCGAGCCTCATGCTGTCTAGGAACGCGGGGGTCGACGTGCTGAGAACCTGGTCGACCGACTGGACGATAGCCTTTGCAAGTTGTGGAGCGTAGATGGGCCAAAATTTGACCAGAAAACTATTCATCCATTCCAAACTTTCGGTGTCGGTCTCGAGACGGGCCTTTGCGAGCTCACGGGTGATGTCGTCTCTGAAGTTGCGTCTCACACGTCTGATTGAGGTCCGATAGTACGTTCCGCAGGTGGCCATGATGATGAAGACCCATCCTAAGCCACCACCAAAGACCGCAACCAGCCATGATGCCAGACAAGCAAAAATTATGACCGCGGCATTGTGGTACCAATCTGTAAGTATTAGCTCCTGTTGTGCTTGACACCTTGACCGAGTGATACCTACCGCCATAGAACTTCTCATCCAGCTTTCCTTCCAGTAGAGTCTGATGGTCAAGTAGGTTTCCACCATCTCGGTCTTCTTCCGTTTCACCACTGCCGAATCGCGGTGCCCATCCGACTTTCGTCCAGTCCTCTTCTTCTTCCGGCGGTGCACCATTAGGCCCTTTGGCGGTGTCTCCATCTGCTTTGGACGCCTCCGCTACAGCCAACGGTTCCGGGGGCGGAAGGTCATATTCCGGGTTACCATCGTCCTGGCTGAGTCAATTCAAGTCCACGAACCAGCCGGTAGAAGGCTATCTCACCAAATCTGTCGCGATTCCGATACCCTTGGGAGCACGGTGTGTATCATTGGCACTCTGTATGCATTATTAGCACTCTAGATATATGCTTGCGGAAAGCTAAGTGTCTCACTGCTCTGGCTTGCGCGGCCTTCTCCTCAGGCGAGGCATCCGGGTTGAAATGGAACGCTGTCGAGCCCGCCTTCTGGCTCTCTGCTATGAGCACTCGCTCCGCATCGTCGGCAGAAACATTATTGCTGGGATCCTGTGCTGCCTCAATGGCGCCCTGAGCCTTGAGCTCGTTCTGGTACCCGTGGCTCATCGTGGGTATCCGGGGAGGGATCAGCGGCGGCTCACCAAGCCTGCTCCGGGACGCTGTGGTTCGCTGCAGGCATGAGAAGAGGGAACCAGACAACAAGAGACGAAGCGTGCAGTTGGAGAGCACTCCAGTACTATAGCCCCTGCTTCAACTGCGCCTCTTCTGGAGCAGGACGAAGGAAGAGTGGAATTAATTGATCTGTGAAGTAGTAGCGACACTGCACTCTGGCGCAGGCTGGCCGGGTGGGCTGGCAATAATAAGTTGCGGGTAGGAAATAAGTGATGATCGGTGAAATCGCAGGTGCGGAGAGCTTGATTGACGCCTGCAGATTTCCTGGAACTGGAGCACTTCCAAGTTGCTCACCACCGTAACTGGTACTACGAGAACTACTGTCACCACTGGCACATCGTAGCACTGCCAGCGACACGGTGCTAAGCTGACTCTGGTTTTGGTGCGGAAGCAAGCCAGCTGAGTACCACAATGGCGGCGAGTAACACGGTTTCTATTCGCCGACTCTATCTGAAGATCGGTTCTCGCTTGACGCCGGGCAGCTAAAAACCACGCGTCCACAGCACCATGGCGCCGTCTTTACGTTAGTTATGATTTCCGCCTGGCCCCTCCCGTCCGATTCTTCCTCGGGCCTGAAGAGCGCGCGCTACTATTACGGGATGAGAGCAGAGGGTGGATTACACGGGAGAGAAGTCAAAGACCCATGTTGACAGCTCCCAGAGTCAAAAAGCGAGCCAGAGGAGAGCTTTCACAGATCAATGGCACTTGGACGACCCTTTTTTCCTAGGTCTGCGGTGATACTGTACCAGCCACGCTTCCGGTTTACTGGCTGTGTCACTTATGTACCTACCTAGGTAGGCACGAAGCTCCCATACCAAGTGATGGTGTACCCAGGAGTTGGACGATCATGCCCGACAGCTGGCAAGCTCCAGGCTCGAGCGACTACCTAGGTAGGTTCAGCTGAAAGCTGCACGCTGACGAACCCCGAGGCCTTATTATTACTCGAAACTCCTTCTCCGGAGTGGACGTCTGCCAGTGCGGTAGAACCACAAGAGCTTCAGAGCCAATCAAACTGCTCTCCGTTCGGTGTATCCCAGATATCAACCGAGCTTGGACCGGGATCGCCGGAATTGGGGAAACTCCGCCTGTCAGCTGGATCCTCCTGATGTGGTGGATATGGGACCAACCGGCGCGGATTTGAGTTCCTACTACAGCGTTGTACACTTCGTAAACAACGAGTAGTACTATGGGTGCACCGTTCGTGAAGAGTTCTTAAGCTTCGAGAACAGGCACAGGCGCGGTGAAATAGCGATAGGCAATATATCATTCAAGTCGAAGAATGCTCAGACATGCCTTATTTTAATACTCGCACAAATAGCAGAATAGGAGCTACTTCCTACCACCTTTCTTCTTCAAGCGCACCTTTTCGATGACCTCCGGCTTCTCTCTGCACGTGGGACAATACCAATCCTCATCCTCATCAGGCACCTTCTTCATGTTCAAGCAGCCAGTATGGAACCACTGGTAGGGACAGTCGTCATTCTCACAAGCCACCATTTCTCCGTAGCTGCGTTGGTTGCAGATACAGTAGCGCTTGTCATCTTCGCCTTCTTCGTCATCCATGTCTTCATCTTCGCCCATGTCGGCATCGCCCTCATCAACAGGTTGCTTCTTGTGACCCCGCCTTCCTCTGGACTGCGAGGCATCTGTCTCCGAAGCATCTGCAGAGGACAGAACGGAATCTGCGTCTTCCGAAGCGGTCGTTCCTCCCCGTCCTCCGCGTACAGATGGCGATAGGCCTTTTTTCCGTCCGGTTGACACCCTCGCCTTTGTCGAGCCCTTTTGTTTGAGCTTGTTGACTTGTTGATGTGACACAACTTTCTTCGAGAGGCCGGATTTCCTGGTGGGAGCCACAGCTTGTTGAGCTCCTGTGGTTCGAGGAATACTACCAGCACGACTGCTTGTGCCAGTGGGAGTGCCAGCTTTCGGTGTACCGGGGCCCAGGGATGATTGGCGCAGGCTCGAAGGCTGAGCTGGTAGAGTTGTGCCCGCGAGCGGGTTTCCAAGTTTACGTCGCTTGGTATCAGCGCCTAATGAGTGTTCACGTTCTCGGCCCCGTTGCTGTTGTACTGCTGAGGCGGGGGTGGCAGGGGCAGAGCTTCGTTGAGTGGGAGCAGTAGCTGTTGCCAGTTGTGGGAGTTGCCTGGTTTGTCCCGGTTGTGGAGTGGCGGCAGCTTGTGCGTTCGCTCGGTGGGCGTTCGCGTTGAGGGCACTAACAGAGGCATTTTGTAGGGGAAGATTTGATGTCGAATCGATAAGGGATTTTTGCGACTCAGCCTTGCGGTTGAACACGCTGGGAAGCGGGGGCCCGTCAAGCAGCTGACCATCGTTCTGCAACTCCTTGATTTTCAAGTCTAACCGCTTGACCTGTCGTTCAAGCAGCATACAAGCTCTCTCGCTCAAGGTTACCTTCTGATTCTGAAGGTCGATACAGAGATCGTAGTTCTTCTTTATCAGATCTGTGTACTCGTTTTCCTTGGGGTGCGGGGCGAGAACGCCATTCATTTTGATATGCTTTTGCAGATTATTGTCTTTCTGAGTAATGACCGACTGATATTTCTGCAGGTCTTTATCTTTGGCCTGGATTTCTTCCATCATGTGATTGATCTCGGCCGGCAGATTGGCAGCATCATGAATGAACTGCTCGAGAACCGATGCACAATCCTCGTTTGATGCCATGATGAGCGCGACGGGGCGGAAGATGGTCGCGTCGCGCTCCCAGTCTTGTGCAACTTACGTATCCCAAATCAAGTCAAGCTGCACATAAAGATCTGGCCCGACGGCAGATACAAGGCCTTTGCACGGGTGGGAGGTATATGTGACCTGGAAGATATCAACGGTGTTATCAGCTAAGGCGCTTCTCGCCACCAAGCATGTAGCGAAAGTGAAGTGAGGGGCAGCGGAGCTATGGAGTTGTTGAGTGACTGCCTGGAGTGAAGGCGGCGAAATAATTGAATTAGAAATCCCCGATGGCGAAATGGTGACTGCCGTTCGGAGACTGAAGTTGAAGTCCAAGTTAGACCTCAACGTTGAAGCCAACTTCAACTTGAACGTCGAGATTATCGCTAGGCCGGCCGAACGCTAAGCCCGTGTAGGAAAGGTGGCGCCAATTCTACGCCACGTCGAATCTGGCCAGCCACATCGCTGTTTTTACCACGTTCAAAGCCTTGCGCCTCGCCTCCTGGGGTTCCAACGGCGCTTCCTTCATGTACTGTACAGTTTTGATATTCTTGTTTCACGATCGTCATTGCGCTTCTAGACCCTAGATCTCTTTCTCTCACCGTTGGACAACGACCTTGGGGCTCTTACGCTTCCGTCTTGATCTTGATCTCACTCGCAGATTTATTGAGACGTATCCAACCCATGGTCGCATCATGGTATCGGCGCGCGATTACATGTTACTGAAGAACAGGCATCTACCAATCTCGTCAATCTCCAAAACCATAACAGCATGGCGCGCGCCACTTCAGTCGTGCAAGAATATTCATCTGGACAAGATGCCGGGGCGGCGCCGACTTTGACGCTGTCGGAGAAAATCCAGCGGGAAATCGAAGAGAATGGCATCGCCCGGCCCAAAGGGTACACGGTATCATGGCACCACAACCCAGCAGTAGAGAACCACCACTTTGGCCAGACGCACCCGATGAAACCGTGGCGACTCACGCTGACCAAATCGCTGGTTCTGTCGTACGGCATGCACACGGCGATGGACACATATATCTCACGAGCAGCGACACGCGACGAAATCGCGGAATTCCATAAGGAGGAATACGTCGAGTTTCTCAACGTCGCGACGCCGCAGAACATCTATGAAATGTACCCGGAGCTCGCGACCGGGCCGCAGGGGTACACGTCGTCGATTTTCGGAGTGGGCGAGGACTGTCCGATTTTCGACGGGCTGTATGCCTTCTGCACCAACTACGCGGGCGCCTCGATCGACGCGGCGCGCAAGCTGGTCAACCAGCAATCCGACATTGCGATCAACTGGAGCGGCGGGCTGCATCACGCGAAAAAGGCCGAGGCCTCGGGCTTCTGCTACGTCAACGACATTGTGCTGGCCATCCTACAGCTGCTGCGCTACCACCCGCGCGTGCTGTACATTGATATTGACGTCCACCACGGCGACGGGGTGGAGCAAGCATTCTGGTCCACGGACCGAGTCATGTGCGTTTCGTTTCACAAATACGACAAGGAAGTCTTTTTCCCCGGCACGGGTCCCTTGGATTCCACGGGTCCCCTACACCCGGACAACCCGGGCAAGAACTATACGATCAATGTGCCGCTGAACGATGGCATCGACGACGACGGCTATGCTTACTTGTTCCAGAACGTCATCGAGCCCACGATCAAAATCTACAAGCCCACCGCGATTGTGCTGCAATGCGGCGCCGATAGTCTCGGCCACGACCGTCTGGGCTGTTTCAACCTCAACATCCGCGGCCATGGAAGGTGCGTCGATTTTGTCAAAAGTTTCCGTATCCCCATGCTCGTCGTCGGCGGCGGCGGGTATACCCCGCGTAACGTCGCTCGTGCTTGGGCACACGAGACCTCTATTTGTATCGGCGCAGACAAGAACCTCAACCCCGCTCTGCCTGAACACTTGCCGTATCGCGAGGCTTTTCGCCGCGAAGGCTTGACCCTGTTCCCCAACCTGGGCGGTTGGAGGAAGGAAAATATGAATTCTAGAGCTGACATTGAACGCATCATTCGTCATGTCCGCGAGCAGCTGAGCTATATCCGTGGAGCCCCGTCCGTTCAAATGCGCTATATCCCGCCTGATATCCAGGGCTGGAGGGAGGAAGTTGAGGAGGAATTGAAGGCTCATCGCATGGACAAGGAAGAAGTCAAAGAGGAAAAAGATGGTGCCGGTGGCCTGTTGGCCAAGGCGAGTCGGAGAAGGGAGTTGGAGCGGAATGGTTTCACGGGCGGTAACGCCAGGGCCGGCGATATCGTGTCTTAACTTAAAGAGCACTTTATCCCCGTGACAGACAGAGGGGCGTGTCATTTTTTACGAGTTTACTTTCAGTGGGACGGCGTACGGAATGTATGGTATGCACAGGATGAGGACATTTGTATGGACGGGGCGGCAGACAATGCAATGTCCGATAACGGACGCTACTTTCAACAGCGGGTACATAATGCTGAAGATATTGAAAGCAAACTTAGCTTGATGTCTCTGTTCGAGTTTTGCTAGCATCTCTGCAAAGCTAGCAGTAACCTATCTCAATCCTCCAGTCTATGGCAGCCTGGGAATTTAATACAGCTGTCGCCAACTGCTTGTTTGGGTTTTAAACTCGCTCTCGACAGGCTATCTCCTGCCGCAGCCCGTATTATTTTGATACGATCCATGCGCAGCTCTTTGGCTGCTGGTCAACTGCAAATGCTGTCGGGTATCCTTTTGAAGAAAACAAGAGCGTCGTATCCCCATCTGTGAGGAATTTCTGAGCGCGAACGAAAACTTGATGCAACGCCATGGCTATGCTGCTGAGACGAAAACATGAGCGACGAGCTGGTAGCCATGCAAAATCATAATACATTGAAGGGGCTCCAATCGTGGGAACTTCTGATCAGTCCCGGCATTTGATGGGAGCCAAGGTCCTAGGACGGGTCCAGGTCAATGTCGACCTTGGGTGCGGATTTGCCATTGACCATATGATCATTATCCCCCTGATGTTGGCTTTTGGCAGGCTGCATTTTAACGCCCGCTTCCTTATCTGCCTGTGCAATCTTGATATACCATTGATCGAAGTATCTGCACGTAACAACATTGACTGGGCCGCCGTCTCCGCAGATTTCGAAGGCCGGACAGCGCATACACGGCACTTCGCTTGATCCGCCTCGGCCAATATCTTCCAGTTCCTGCTGTCGATATGCAGCTTTTCGAGTGCTCTCGTGGTTGCTCATTTTGCGCTTTTCAAGCTGATGCCGCTCAAGAAGGTCGTTGGGGGTTTTGAAGCATCGGTACATTGTGATAGTGTTATTGACGGGGTCATCCGCGATTTCGTCGTCGGCCGGAGTACGGTGCATCTTGAACAAGCGATCGTCGTACACCATGACCTCCAGCAACTGTTGAATTGCAGTCTGAGGCAGGATGGTGGGTGTAACGTTGATCTTGAGAATGTGGGTGGTGATATCTCTCAATGTGGGATATCCTCTGTGACCGGCCTCGAATGGCCGATAGACCTTTGGGGCAGGCTGTTTGTGAGCCTTGCTCTTGTGCTGTCCATCGTTGGTTTTGATGGCTTTGCCTCTATCATCGCCACTAGTATCCAATCCTGCTGCAGCAGCCTTGCGCTTTTGACCTGGAGAAGGCGGGTCCTCCTCTTCGTCTTCCTCTTCGACGACCGACCAGCTTTGCGTGGAAACATAATGCTCGATGACTTTCGAAATGGTATCAACTAAACCAATGTCAAGACGACCATCGGAGAACCAGGCTCCTCCACTTGCTTCCTCGGATGGCTCCAATCCAGACAGGATGTACATCTTTCTCCCAGGGTTCTTGACATGCTTCATAGGCTTGATCAGACCTTTGGTTTCCAGACTCTTGTAGACCCTGTCCAGCACTCTGCCATGGAGTGAGGAGCGGAACTTGATGGTTTTGGTCCATACTCCGGCCGTTCCAGCGGCATCGACGATGAATAACACTATTTTTTCATCTCGAGTAAGGCCCGTGTAACTGTAGACATTTAAAAGTCAGGACTGAGCAGACAGATTCAGAGTGGTTGGTGTCTTATTACTTTTTGGCTTTTTCTTGGTCCACCAGCTCCCAGCCAATGGTGCCACCAGTTCTGTCGTGAAGTCTGAAGAGGGCATTGTCGACCAGGTGCGTGACCGCAGACAGGAGCATTGAGAGATCGCCATTGGGGATGATGCCCGCGGACAGAAGCTCATCTTGACCAAAGACATGTCCGACTTCGTAGTTCTTGCAACACCAAGCATACAGGGCTTCGGCAAGGCGATTTCGCCCTTTCGACGACGGCCCCGGCGCGGGGGATGCAGAAGCGACCTTTGGAGGTGCCATTTTGTTTAGATTGTGATGTGGAATGTTTATCAGATGCTACCGATCAGGATGTCGGGGGCAGAACATGATGGTTCAGCAGAAAAGTGCTGAGACCGAGAGAGACTGATGGCAGAGAGATCGATCGTCACCGTCGCATAGTCGCAGAATAATGATTCTGTAGGGGATCAGCAGTGAGTCTTCAGTGCCTGTGATCAAAAATAATAAATGCGCTGCACTCGCCGCCCAAAATTTTGGCGCGACTTTAGTAGGCGGAGGACATTGGTGGGGGCCGAATGACCGCAGTTTGGCTTCCACGACAAGGCCTCCAAGTGTGTTGCGCAGCGCAAACCAGTATTACTTCTATGACTATCGTGATCCGGAAATAGCCTTCTCAAGAATGTCTGCAACTTGAACGGTTATACACACCGCATGTTCCGAGTCCCTGTTGTTGCAGCACGGATATTGCAGGTTCCACTATTGGTTGGCTGCCGGGTTGTATGGCAGCCTTGCCGGGACGCGACACAGCCTCGTCTGCTGAGTCAGCAGCTCTGCGCTTTTGCATGTGATGGCTCTATGCTCAACCGGTGACCAGCGGGGACACGGGCAGATGTTGCTGAGGGTCCGTGCGCCGAATTTTCTAGACAGTGCTTCGGCGGCCCGCAGTCACGATACTCAAGGCTGAACTAGTAAACCGGGATGAATGACATGGAACAGCACAGTACATAGCCGTCGTAGCAGCCTTTCCCGCGAATTGCTTGTGTACAACAACATTAAATTGGCTTCCACTATTGCACTGCATCCATAGCTTGTTTTCCGAGCATAGCTGTATTGACTTTTCTGTCCTTTGACCTTCCTAAACATAAGCTCTACTAACGCAGAACCTACAATGGCCGACGCCCTCAAGGCTGAAGGCAACAAGGCTTTCGCAGCCAAGGACTTCCAGACTGCTCTGTAAGTGACCTCTCCGTTGACGAGTTGAATCCGCGGACATCAACTAATACTCCATCAGCGAGAAGTTTTCCCAAGCAATTGAACTAGACCCTAACAACCACGTCCTCTATTCCAATCGATCCGGCGCATACGCTTCCCTGAAAGACTACCAAAAGGCCCTCGAGGATGCTGAGAAGACGACACAGATCAAGCCCGACTGGGCAAAAGGCTGGGGACGTAAAGGAGCGGCTCAGCATGGCCTGGGTGATCTGGTCGGCGCCAAAGACTCGTTCGAGGAGGCCTTGAAGCTCGACCCATCCAATGCCCAGGCCAAGTCAGGTCTGGAAGCCGTGAACAGAGCGATTGAGGCAGAAGCCCGCGCGGATGGTGCTGACATGGGTCTGGGCAACATGTTCAACGACCCCCAACTCATCCAGAAGCTTGCCGCCAATCCCAAGACTGCTCCGTACCTCGCAGATCCACAGTTCATGGCCAAACTGCAACAGCTAGCCAAGAATCCCTCGGATATGGGCCAGGCTCTTGGAGACCCAAGATTCTTGCAGGTGATGGGTGTGCTACTAGGAGTGGACATGCAGATGGGCATGCCGCCGGAGGCGGCTGCATCTGGAGCAGACCAGCCGAAAGAGGCGGAGGAGGATGTGCCCATGACCGACGCACGCCCTGAATCAAAGGAGGAGAAGAAGGAGCCCGAGCAAAAACAGCCGGAGCCCGAGCCTGAACCGGAACCGGAAGACGAAGAGGCGATCGCAAAGAAGAAGGCCAAAGAGGAGGCCGAGAAGGAGAAGAAGATTGGCAACGACTTCTACAAGACGCGACAGTTTGACGAGGCCATTGAGCACTACAGCAAGGCATGGGAGCTGCACAAGGACATCACATACCTGACCAACCTCGGAGCCGCCAAATTCGAGAAGGGCGACTACCAAGGCTGCATTGAGGCGTGCCGCCAGGCCATCGAAGAGGGCCGACAGATCCTGGCCGACTTCAAGATCATCGCCAAAGCATTTGGACGCATTGGCTCGGCGTACGAAAAGCTCGGCGACCTGCCCCAGGCCATCGACAACTACCAGCGATCGCTAACGGAGCACCGCACGCCAGAGATTCTGTCCAAGCTCCGCGCCGCCGAAAAGGCCCAGATCAAGGCGGAACGAGACGCGTACGTCAATCCCGAAAAAGCAGAAGAGGCCCGTCTTCTTGGAGCCGAGCGGTTCAAGAACGCCGACTGGCCCGGTGCCGTCGAGGCCTATACGGAGCTTACGAAGCGCGCCCCCGACGACCCTCGTGGCTACAGCAACCGTGCCGCGGCCCTGATCAAGCTTCTCGAGTTCCCCAACGCCATCCAGGACTGCGACGAGGCCATCAAGCGCGACCCCAAGTTCATCAAGGCGTACCTGCGTAAAGCCCAGGCTCTGTTCGGCATGAAGGAGTACAACAAGTGTCTGGACGTCCTCGAGGAGGCCATTGAGCACGACGAAGGTGGGAAGAACGCCCGCGAGATTGAGCAGCAGCAGCAAAAGGCCCTCGAGGCCATGTACGCCGCACGCGCCGGCGAAACTGAGGAACAGACTGCTGCAAGAATCCAAAAGGATCCCGAAATCAGTAAGTTCACACCCCAGCTCCTCCCTGTCTGCGTTACAGCTCAGCTCGAACCCCATTGTTGTTGTTGTTGTTTTGTAACTCCTTACTAACCTTTTCTCCCTACAGTGCAAATCCTTTCCGACCCGGTCATGCAATCCATCCTCCAGCAGGCCAAGAACGACCCCGCCGCGCTCAACGAGCATATGAAGAACTCGGGCATCCGGAGCAAGATCCAGAAACTCATCGCCGCCGGCGTCATCCGCCTTGGCCGGTAGAGCAGAGAGGAGCTTTCCATAGGTCTGGGCTCGCCTCCGCTCGCCAAAAGTCTGCTCAATGTTGTTGACTGAATTTCAATCCCGAGAGAGAAAGAATCATCTAATAAACCTTGATCCTCCTGCGTCTCTGCAAAGGTTACTTCCCTTTCCTTCCTTTTTCTGATCTGAGCGTGTTGCCGCAACGATGCGTCTACCATAATCTGGTCATTTGTAGTTCGAAACAAAGGTGACTTATTAATCAATCGCCTGGTCGAGCCGATGAAACCATGCATGCATGTACTTGTCCTACTGATTGATCCTAAGACACGAGACGACGCCAATCTTCGTGCAGATACACACCACGATATAAAATCCTAGTGATTCCGCTTCGCTTTACGTCCTGAGTAAATGCCCCTATTAAACGACTTGCTTCCAAAGCAAAAAATTCAAACCCTAGGACTGAAAATGGTTCCTTGCGTATATGCATTCATCCCACGTGGTGTTGTGCCGCCGCGTGTATAAATGAACAACTTTGCCTCAACCTGCTCCCCAGCCCTCAGGCCCGTGCCGACGCCATCAAAGGTCCTCAGTAGTACTGCAACCTTGCACGGCGCCGGTTGTGCATAGTCCCATATCGAGGAATTGACAGTACCGTTACCGTCCAAATTGGCTATGCTTTTTGATTCCGCTCCATTCACCTTGGAGACTGGAGTCGAAACCAAAAAGCCCAGCAGGTCTGCTCGACCCTGTACAACGTGGAGGGTCGTCCCGAGGTATTATTTGCTAAAGGCGATCATTGGCCAACGTGCACTCGTTTTCGTCGATCATGTCAATTCCTTCCCACCGGATTAGGCTGCAGCAGGCTGGCCAGCAACGTTGGCACCAGGGTCACGACGAGCCTGGACGACCAACAAGCCGGCATTTGACTGTCTCTCATGCATTGCCTTGACGAGAGTTGTGGCCAATGGACCCAAGACACCACGGAATTCGTCGTCGCGACTTCCTCCTCCAACAGCAGCAGCCTTACCGGCCCCCGAGCTGGACGGGATCCTGTCCAAGGCATGGGAATAAGTCCGACGACCGACCATGACAATAGTCTCGGCGGCACTGGGTTGCGCAATGGCCTCGAGCACGGCCCTGACACTTAATCCAAACACACTCTGATGGCCGGCTGGTTCCAGATCGGTAAAGGAAACTCGAGGCTGTACAGCGTCAGGGATACGAGTTCGAAGAAGTTGGAATTCCTGGTCAGTATGCCTTCTGGCTCCGTGAAGACCTGCCTCTGCGTCTTTGGGCGACTCATCATCAATCATCTCGTCGTAGTCATCATTATCTAGAGCTGTCCGCGCATCGAGGATTTGCAAGTCGACCAGGTCGTTCTTGGCGAATTGTAGACCAAGACGCACGGCGAACAAGTCGTCATTGCTACCCTGGTATACCACAATAAGTCGGTATCTGCCACTGTCCGGAAGCTTGAACTGCACAGTCGAGTTGATGTGCTCGACTGTGCTCTTGCCAGTCATGGTCCGGCTGAGTTGGAGTGGTGATTGACGCTCCTGCAGAGGTGACTCTGCTCGCGCGGCACCCGGTCCGCCGAGGATGCTGTGGTCGATGAACACGGCCACATGACACGTTCGCCGCCCTCTCTTGAACACCTCAGCCACCATTGATCCAAACTCTCTGTTCGCGAGGGGATCTTCCAATTTGTCATCGAAGATGCTGGCATATTCCGACATGGAGCCGGTCTCGGACCACGGGATGACGACCAGATCGGACCTTAGGTCTTGTGCACGAGTCAAAAGCGTGCTGGAGAACGAGTGTTCCGGCACGACTGCAATTTGGCCTGCGACAGCGATATCTTTGGACCGGCCAAATGAACCGAAGGCGTTGATGACGGGATCGCGACTGGCAAAGTCCTCAATCTCGGCGACACGCATCACGCTAGACCCTCGCTCCGTCAGCTCCATGAGGCGCATGGCATGGACTTGAAGAGGCCGTCGAAGCGTGAGCACCGAGCTCAAGGCCTGCCTGTTTGCCATGACCTCCCTTTCCCTCGACTGGGCCTCGTTGGCGGCTGCCGCTGGTTGGGAAAGACTAGTAACTTCCTCTGGCTTGTGCGCGAAAAGCGACACCATGGTGAATAAACTGGGCAGGCCGTCCAAGCGGAGATAGACGAGCACTCTTTTCGCAACATTGGCCTCAACCAGCATGTCCGCATCGCTGTTTTCGTCCGCCTCGCCACTGTGAGGGAGAGGGTTCCCGTCCCAGTCGATCTTGCCCTGCTTCCAAAGCTCCAGTTTCTGTTGATACCATGGTGGATACAGCCAGGTTGTCAACGGTGTAGTAGCAAAGGTAGTAATGAGTGCCATGACGACGAAAATGGTGAATGTCCGCGTCGTCAAAATCTTGGCTTGTAATCCAATGTTTAACACGATCAACTCAACTAGTCCTTTGCACGACATCAGGCAGCCAATCGTCAACGATTCTCGCCAGACAAGGCCGTTCAACCTCGATGCTATGGTTCCACCAGCGATTTTGCCGAAGAAGGCGACCGCGCAGACTCCCACCACGTATGCCCAGGTGATTCCTGTATCCAGAAGGCCCAAGTTTGTGCTGAGACCCGATAGCGCAAAATACAGGGGGAGGAACAGGACGCTGACAAGATCTTCAATTTTCTCTGTAAGTTTGACCGCAAAGCCACCTTCGTGTGGTGCCATGAGGCCAATCATGAAGGCTCCAAAAATCGGATGGATGCCAATGATCCCGGTGAAGAACGCGGAGGCCAGGACGAGCAGTACCGTCAGGGCAACAACGGATTGGGTAGGCCCGTTGGCAAGACTTCCCGATTTTCGAATGATGTATATAAAACAAGGCCTAACTGCAAAGACCAAAAAGAGGGTGTATCCGAAAGCAACGAGCAGGATCCACAACGCAGTGAGGCCAGCACCGGAGTTGACGAGAGCAACGCACAGTGCAAGTAAGATCCAGCCGGTGACGTCGTTACCAACACCGGCTGAAAGTACGATGACACCAACAGGAGTGCCCAGCAATTTTAGGGACGTTAAAATACGACAGAGAACCGGGAATGCCTATGTTGATCAGAGAAATAAGGCAGGATGAAGGTGTGGTTAATTCACTCACCGTGATTGCCATGGCCACGCCGATGAAAAGCACATAGATACCGAAACTGATGGGAGCCATGTCTGCTTCCTCTCGAAACTCATGGTACAGGCCATAGGCGATTGCGGCGCCCAGTCCGAAAGGTAGAGCCATGCCAGCAGCTCCAACGCTCAATGCAACGCGCCAATTCCTCAGAAGGAAGCGCAGGTCTACCTCCAGTCCAACCAGAAACAAAAACAAAACCAATCCGATATTGGCAGCAAGGGAGAATGCAGGCATCGAGGCTGTAGGAAAGATATGCTTCGTGAATCCTGGGATCCTGCCCATGATGGAGGGTCCTAGTATGATGCCAGTGATGACTTCTGCAATAACTCGCGGCTGTCGGAGATACGCCAAAGGGAAGTGAATGATTCGAGTGAGGATGATGACAATGCTTGCTTGGATGATGAATAGAATTATGGGATTTTTGGTATCATAATGAGTTGGGTTAACATGCTCGAAGATGCCCCCTTGAGGAGTTGCCCGGATGGTGCCGGTGCTGGAGGCTGCTGTTGCGCTGACTGTCTTTGTGAGGAGCTCCGTCACGGTTGCGGTCGCCATTGCAGCAACCGACCAAGAACGAGATTCTGACAAGTTCGTGAAGAATGGTCCAGGGGAAATAAAGGAACGAGAGATAAGGCCTCCGTGGGAGTGGACAGTTTCTGGAGAGAATATTGAGTCGTATAGGGTGCCACTGTGCTGTTGGGAAGGCTCCCACCGGCTCGCGTTTGGTCCCGCCGCTGAAGTTGACACAGCCTGTTCACAGCACAGCCAACAGCGGGAGGTCAGATATTATTCTCTGTACACAGCGGTGAGCACAAGAAGGCCATGTGGTCAGCTCAGAAGACAATCATAGCGACCACATGAGCCGTTTTATGGTTCGAATGTGATGCCTTGGCTGAATCTAGTAGGTGCCAGCGGTCGAGCTCGGGATCCGGCCAGTTGAGGTATGAGACGGTCCCTGCGAAGGGTTGCCTGTGGTTGCAAAGGCATTGGAGGACGCCCGAATTCTTAGCCTGACTGGCATCAGCCCAGAACGCCAACCTCGTATTTATTGGGAGAGTCTGCCGGGCTAGGATCTTTCATGACCAATGTTCTTGGGCCTTGGGGGTGGAGCGTGCCCCAGCATTCCTTGGAGCGGATGACTGTGGACACCGCCCGTAGACAAGGACATTATTGTACAGACTCGCAACAACCATACATGCAAAGGCCGACGACAGTTCCATCCTTCGAGGCCTATCCCACGCAGGTGCTGCTGCCCAAAGCCAGTGATGGACCTATTATGCTGTGGCGGTCGTGTATATTTCACGCCGGCCTCGTCCGCAATGAGATGCCCACCATTGGAAAAGCTTGATCGCAATCTGGAGGAGGGTTTGCTCTACCGTTCTTGCCAGAATAAAGTTATCGTCTACTACCGTCACAGGAGGTTCATAGATCACTGGCCATATTTTATTCAGTGTAACGGCATGAGCATAGCTTTTGTCAGAGGCCGTGAAGGCTCCCGGTGCCTAGCCGGGAGATGGAAACATTATACGTGTACATAAATCGCTAGAATCGCTCGAGAGAAGATAAGTCGATAAAGCCGACGGATACCTGACACACACCGCCTCCAATGACGGTCATCTAGGTCATCTGTGCCGTTTAGACTTGTGCGCCAACGGGCTGGCAGTCGTGGGAAGCGCAGAAGGGCGGAGCGACGGATGGACTGGGCGCTTGGGCGTCTGCACGCAATATACGCACATGTACGAATCCAGTATGCGCCTGGCGTCGATGCCTACACAACTGCTATGCAGCCATTTGCAGCATGAATCGCTGGATATAAGAAATCAGCACAGGGGTTTGGCAGAGGACGGCCGGCAAATGAAGACGTACCATTGAATCAAGGGAACCGACCCGTCCAACACAGAAGAATTACATACGCATCGCATGCTCTGGTTACTGGCCAGGCTGTCCCTGTCGGTACTTGGGGTAGCAAGATCCGGGTCGGTGAGAGTGGTGGGAGAAGCGTTATACATAGCATATTGGGTTTGCTGCATCGGTGGGGACGATTGAAGATATCCGATATTAGAGCTGTCCCTTTGTGTGAAGCCAGAACGATCTCGGTCCTCGATGATGGCTCGTAGTGCAAGCTGTGCATTTCCAAGAAGGTCGTTTTCTGTTCCACTGTCCGATTCGACGCCCAATCCAAAGAGCGGTCGCTTTCGGCGCGCACCCTGAGGGCCTTCCACGCCCTTGGTATTCTGGAGGTTGGATGTGGAGGGATCGTTAGATTGCTGCATGACAGAATTAACAGAAGCATTCGTAGAGCGCGAGCTCGTCTTCGAATGACTATACGACCTCTGTAAGCCATAAGCTTGCTGAGAAGGATCTCCATTATCGGGAAAGCCGAAAGAGTTGACCTGAGTATGGAGTGCACGGAGGTCCATATTGTCAACATTTCCTGCCTCGCTACCAGGGTTCCCGCCCTGGGGCTGGTCTGTAAGAACCATTTTTGCAACACCATCTTCATCAATTGCCAAGGATAATGAGCCACGGGTACCATTCGAGTTACGACTCATGCTGAGAGACCTTGATATGGGGTCAACGACGGTCTTGAGCGGGGAGGAGCGACCGGGTCGATGTTGGCTACTCTGGTCCACCGATGCTGCGGGATTTCGGCTTGGGGTGACAACCTGCAATGGGGGTTTCAGGCTCCGTTCACCTCGAACCCCTGTATGCGTTGCGCTCCTTCTGAGGCCTGGCCTGCTATCTTTTCTAGGCGAAAGAGGTCTTTTCAAAGCCTCCTTTACAGATCGAGTGATAGACGGCTGAATCGCATCACCCATTCTCTGCCGCTTGGTCTCTTGTTCTCGCCTCGATTCTTCAATCTGATGGGCGTAGGCCGGTCTATCCGAAGTGAGATTGTGCTGCTGATACCGGTAAGCGTATTGATCAGCAGTGCCGAACCGGCGAGCTGGCGAGCTGAGGAACATGCTCGGGTTCTCAGCATGTGGTGGAGGCATTCGCGGTGAAGTTGTGAAACAAGCCGGGTACATCGGGCCGTTGGTGTATGAGTAATTCATGGAAGGCGGCATGAACGGTAAATCATAGACCTGCTCTTGTGGGACACTGGCTTGCGGAGAGAAACTCGGGACCACAGTTGACGATGAGGCGAACGAAGAGCTCAGAGCTGAAGGGCTGTACTGAAAAGGATCTTGATATTGCTGGTGGAAAGATTGCTCCTGGAAACCGACGCTTGAAGGATCCCAAAACAGCCTTTGATCAGTGTAGGCCGGGGCAGTAGCTGGACCGGAGAACTGATGTGCGTATACATCTGGAGAGAGTTGCAGGCTCGGGAACAGACCTGGGGATTGTTCCATGAGCCTGTTGGGCGTTTCCGGCGGGCCCATGAGCCGCCGCTCATTTGCAGACATCATTGAGCTGTGCGGCTCTCGTGAAGGAGGAAGACCTCCTGTTAAGTCTGAATTTACGCCAGCCTGCGTATCTGTGTATGTGGCACCCGTCGACAACCTTCAGATATTTGCTTGCCCTTGCTGCAATAAAACCTGTATGCAACGATTTACAGGTATGTTCACCGACACTGGGAATTCATGAAGGCTCAGTAGGTCCTATCGAGCTTCAACAGGTCCTCTGTCCTTGGTGACGGCCAAACACGGTGATCCTTCAGCTATTATTTTCCTTTCTCCTGATTTTGACGTTGTAGGTTCTCCCTCTCTTGAATTTCTCGGTCAATATCGTCTGAGGGGTCGGATGTCGAGAGGAATTCGTCTCGTCGTCGTGGTTCGACTCGAAAGGTCTTCGGTCACCACCTAAGTATCCTGACAGTTTCTGCACATCTCTTTAGCACAACTTATCTGGTAGACTGAGCAACAATAATTTTTGGGTCTGGGATTCCATACTCTCTGACCAGGATCCACCCAAACTGTCCCACTTCGGAGGAGTTGACAGCATCCAGATTCACATAAGTTGAACGCTGCTACCAACTCCTAGTAGCTCGAGGATGTCCTCTGTAAGGTAAGCTTCGGCTGCAGATGATGTTATATGAAGGGGCTCGAGTGTGCAGCCCTGGATTAGATGATATCTTCTAGATGTGCAAGCACATGAGGCCTGTTCGTCGGAATCGGAATGCGACAGGAGAACAATGTGGCTCAAGAAGGGCCACCAATATTTTGACAGCGGGCAAGGACATGGTACATTCCCTCATGTGTCTACATCCTGCCCTTTTGATACTCTGCGGCTCATATCAGAGCAAATGGACGCTGGCTGCATGATTGGTCAGGCAGAATCATGCAATTGTTGAGCCTGGTTAGAGAAGCGGAAATGGTCAAGCGACGGGATGGCAGCCCGGGTTTCTGACAACGACCAGGGCCAGGATGGGGCGTTCTAGTGTAGTTGTAGGCTGTTCGGTGCAGTGTCATGTTTGGACTCGATGAGGCCGACCAGCAGCAAATCGCCGGTGGCATGGAGGGGTCCTTGACGAGAGACACAGGGCTCCAAGCCCGTGGTGGCCTGAATGGGTGGAACATGTGGATAGGAAACATTCAGTATTACGAGCATTGGCATCGGGGAGTGCGAGGTTGCCGCTCGCAAGTGGCATATTAAACTTCGGGCTCGCAGCGGTAGGGGTCTCAGGGGGTCCGAGGCGGTCCTCTGCCCTGCCTGACATGTCCAACTAGTACCTGCACCTGCTGTAGGCACCACCCAGTAGTGCTGCCACTGCGCTCCGAAAGGTGCCTCCTTAGCCTGCGCTGGCTCGCTGCTGTGGCTGCCTGCGCCCCGGCCTTGCAGAGGACAAGACACTTTTGTCAGGTCTTTAGTTCTGGCTACTAGTACCACAAAGCGCAGAACGCCCGAACGCCCGACATCTGACAATTGCAAGCCACTATGTCCGAGCACCATGGTACTACTACAGTATCATCAACTGGTAATCCTAGGTACTGCTCTGCTCCTCAGGATTCGACAATCAATACTACCCTCGATCAACCTCGCGATAGCCGGCTGTGCCTTGAACACATTGCTCGCTAATTTTCCCTGATCACCCACAGTTTGGGTGATAGTGTGTCATGCATCCATGCTGTTTCTCCGGCTCTTGTTCTAATTTCCACTCTGTGGAGTTTGATGCTGCCGATCGTAGGTCTATCGATATGCAGCCAAAACAGAGGAGCTATGCTCGATCTCGTTAAATGCTACCCAGCCCAGGTACGTACTACGTACTCCTGCAGGTGGACAGCTCCCAGAGTACCTCACATACATTGTATTGACTCCATGATGCACGGAAAAATTTACCCGGTATCAACGACGGTGCTTTCTAGTCTACAACACTGTACACATGCTAACGGCAACAGCATTCTCAGGAAGCCTGGAGGACCTCATACTGTATATTGTGCCACCTGTGAAGCTCTATCTGCGCTGAATCACTACCCAGCACCAAGTCTCAACGACCGTTCGCCATGCCATGTCGTCCCTGAATGACGGGAAGGTTGTTTCTATGGGCCTCGACGTTAGTACATCTTCGCTTAGGACTGTGCATCTAAGATTAGCGAATAAGGGTCCACCGTTGAATACTGCCCCCTGGGGCTCCAGAATGACACTGGGGATTTGGGTTCGCCGGCTGTGCTAGTGGCTTTGACGTTGTCCCTTTCGAGCCTCTGGTCTCGGACTGTGCTCCTCCTCGCCGTGTGTTCGTTGTGGGGAGGCGTTAGTGATGCGGCCGAACATGTGTCTCTCTTCACCCACCTGGTCCTCCAACAAGCCGCTTCCTACGAACGGCACAGCCTCCACTCTTGCCCGGAGTTTATGGAGCGGTACAGCCGGAGCCCTGGTGGCATGAGCAAGAGGTGGTCTTCAGACACACAGCTCGAGCTCTGCAACGCCTGGCAAAGGGTACTGAAAATGCACATCACTTCGATCCATACAGCTTCTGCCTAAACCAAGCGTGTGAGAGGATTGAAGGATAAGATCTTCTGCCGTTGTGCACAAACTGTGCTAAGGCTTTAACTTTACATGTCAGACAACAAGAGAGACAACAATAATGGTGGTCAAATCCGAGGTAAAAGAGACCTTAAGGCTCTTCCACCTTGGCCTATCTTGAAAATGGATCTACTAGCTTATCAGGTAACGATGCAAGCAACGCCCTCTCTGGAACCAAAGCCTGGCCTAAGACTTAGGTCACCACCGACTCAGCTGTGGACGACCCCAGTTTGCAGTGATCATCAATGTGAGTACAAGGGTACTACTAGTAGTTTATCTTCCCTGAGCAGCTCTCTTGGAGCGCTCTGGGACCTTACATGTGAACCGTACGACATTCCTTCCCATTTCGGGCTAGAGGGAGTGCTCTACCTGCGGACATGGTGGCTTCATGACTCCGTTTTCGGAATGCTGACAACCACTGAGGTCTGAAGGCGGGCTCTTAGAAGAATTGCAATACAAACGGGCCTTCCAGACAATAGCGTGATGATCGATATCGCTGCCCATGCGGATGTGCCGGCATCCTTGCTGATTATTGCAAGTTCGCAAAAGTCTACCAACACTTTATTCTTCATCGGAACCTTCGTCGTCCTCTTCGATAGGTTCGACAAGCAGGTTCGCTGCCCTCCCTATTCTCTCGCCTACGGAACCTCCCTGCTCCAAGTCGAATACCGTCCTTGGCATTGGCGAAACTAGACGAAAGCCATATTCATGTTCGTAATTAGCTGGCTCCTCAACTTCTGTCCCGGTCAAGTCACCCGCCTCCTTGGCTTTTAAGATTTCGTAGCAGTCAACAAAAGCATAAAGCTCGTCCAGATCTGCTTCTGAGTGAAACTTGCGAATGATCCGCTCGCCAGAAGCCATGCGAATACTGACTCGAATGGCGTCTTTCACCTCAGGTCCAGGCTCCTTCGGCAGCGACTGAGCCCGCCACTGTCTCCATTGCTCCATGTTTGCCTTTCTCTTCGCAAGCGCCTCAGCTCTTTCTTGTGCCTCTCTCTCCGCTCGTGCGGCTGCCGCTTCTGCCTCTCGCCTTTGCCGGACACGCTCGCGATCCTGGGCAAGGGAGCGTTCATATGCTGAGTCCTGCTCCTGGCGTAGATTTCGCGACGCTTGCTGCTCGGCTCGTTGAGCCCGAGCGGCAGCCAACTGCGCTTGATGTGCCGTCATCGCCGTCCCGAGCTTCGCAACCAGCTCAGATGCAGGCATGGGTCCTGCTGCTCTCATGATGACTGTCATCGCTGACGAGCCCGCGTCGGTTGTCTGACAGACTAAGGCAACGAACGGGAATTTTGTGCACTGCAGACTAGATGATACCTGGTAAGCCTCAGCGTCCTGGACATTACCGCCCCAAAGCAATAGTTCGTCTTTATGAGAGTCCAGGAAAGATTTTATCGGACTGGACAGCAGTGTCTCTTGCACCCATGTAGTGTTTTCATCGTGGCTAGGTGACAGGAGGACAACCAGGAGAAATTTGAGGTCTTTTTTCGCGGTGTCCAAAGTCAAGTTGAAGCCTGATTCCGAGAATGGCAAGACATTTGTCCCATACTCTTCACTGAACTCCCGAATGAATCTCCTTGTTGTTTCGGCCGGAGGGAGAGATCTCCGCGTAGGCCGTGATTGTTGGTATACAAGGCGATGAAGTAGTCTCGATAGGAATGAGGGTACAAGAAAACTCAACGGTGACAGTATTGCGCTTATGACTCGATACATGACATTAATCGGAGAGAAGAGGATGGAGAATAGGATTGATGGCCGGTATTGTGTTTCGGTCGAGGGACTTGTGTCGACTCTCTCTACGATATCTTCTGGGTTCGCACGAGGGCGGGTAGGGTGCGTGGAGGAGAGCAAGGATTCAAATTGGAGGTTTGCGGTCTGTCGGCTGGAGGCTGGAGGCAGCGCGGAACGAGCTTCTGATAACGGATCGGTGGCAGGCTCGCCATCGAAAAAGCGGGCGATGGCAATCTGGACGTTCCATTCGCATCGTTGGAGCAATGGAATGGCGGAAATTGGGTCTTGGTCTGTTACTGCGGTGTAGGTTTGCAGCGCCTCCTGTTGCGCAGGAGTTAACTGTGAGATATCTGGGGAGGACATCCCGGGTCCAGCTTCAGACAGAGCTCGCAACGCAGTAGTAGGCAACAGACGCTGTTATCGAATCAAGAGCATAGACATGCCCGCCCTGCTGACAACTTGTAAGTTGATGGAAAGGGAAAACTGCAAGCTGAGGATCTCAGGTATAGGTGTATCCAAATATACGATCAGGCACAACAAAAGACAGGTAACTCTGGTTGATCCACGCGCGATGTCATATGCAGAGGAAGTGGATGGGGCCGATGGCGGATGCAGTGGCCTGCAGAGAACGCGCCGCGGGATGGATAATTTTATAATTATTATTAAGGTGCAGCGAGCGCCCGAGGGGCCGGCGGTACTGGGGCCTGATGGGCCTTGGGCGCCATGTCTTCAGTAGTGATTATTAGGCACTAGTCAGTGTTGCTAGCAGTGCCTAGTCGAAGTAGTCGTACTAAAGTGTTATAACTGAAGTGCATCGCCGCTTAGAGCATCCCTGTCCCGCCCGCTCTCTGGCCGCTCATATCATCTCAACTGCCTTTACAGTTGCTACACCTCGACTTCGACTTAACTTCCATTCATTTACTTTCTTGTTGCAGGCGCCCAGTGCTCGAACACATCTACCAACGGAACGTGTCATCTTTTCATTCTACTGCTATTTTGGATACTTTATATCATTATGTATATTGCCGTTCGTTACTATTACTACTAAACTGCGACTCTAACATCCTCCCTGTTCCACCTTCGTTCCTCGCTTCCACACGCGGATCCTGAAATGTGGTAGTCCACAACAAGCTCGCGACGTTATTATGAACTGGTGGGCGTGCTCTGCCATGTACACAATCCCTGAATAAACGATTATGGCCGCAACCCCCAATAACAATGTCGATGACACCAAACAAGCGACTTTGTCCCCACGGCTTAGAGGTCGGGGTATGTTCTCCCCAGCACACCCTGGCCCGGAATCAGTTCACTACATGGAAGTGAGCGTTGGAAAGGGATGACATTGTGCTGATACTTGTGTGCTGGTCAGAAAACGCAAGGGATACCCTCTGCCGCAATGTGACCATCTATGGAAAGTGCCGATACGAGGACAAGGGTATATTGCCCCGATGTTATCGGGTTGCGACTTGAGGCTGAACATGCCTAGGCTGCGCGTTCAATCACAATATAGAAAAGGCTACATCCGATGGTGGACAGAATGACAGGTATACCTAGACCCTGCACCACCGGAGCCGAAATCGTATGCTGATGTTCATTCAGCCAGTCGAAGAAGACCCTGAACGTCGACTCTCCCAGTTTCACTCCTTCCTTCCTCTCTCCCAACGGTGCGAATACCGCAGCAAAAAAATCCGCAGGCATTTCCCCCAAGGCGGCAAGTGCGGCCCCGTTTATGCCCAAGGCCATCATATCTCGTAAGACGAAGCGATCGTGGAGAACGGCGTGACCCTGCGGGCTTACAACTAATGACAGGATCGTCAAATGCAACACCGCTACGTCAAGATGCCCGGACTCCAGATTGGGCTCTGGCCGACGTCCAAGAGTTTATTCCCAGGCGAACACAAGAACCAGCACTGGTGAGTGGCGTTTGAGAAGCCGTCACTGAGCCACTACATGGTGCTTACCGCTGGCTTTCAGACAAAGGAAAATGAGATACCTGTTCCGCATACTTTCGAGCCATTCCCGCCCGCACCACCACCTAATCCCTACCTCGACCACGGCATTAATGGTGCCGCATTCTTCCAGAGCAACCCAGGCTTTCAACTACCGGTGCAGTACTCCCCCGCGGCATGAACCCCATATCGCTGACTGTTCCAGGTGCAATACCATCAATATGCGCCTATTGGGCACGTCGGTAGCAACCTTGCCCCTTATCAGCGCACAGTCCATGATCTCTTCATTCCCAACGATCTACGAGAAGAAATCCAAAAGAAGCTTGCCGCAACGCTTCAGACTCTACCAAGTACGGATACTGGAGTGCAGTCGTCTCAAGGCAAATTTGCTAATCTGCTCCAGACTCACGACTCCCCAGCCACATCGAAAGTTATCATTCACTAGTGCCGCTCGACACTAACCAGAAAAGTTCCACTATTTTCGGAGGCTACACTTCCTGGATCTATAAAGCCCAGTCTAGCACCAATGGTCAATACTATGCTCTTCGCCGGATTGAAGGTAATGGAACCTACACTGGACATAAGCTATGCCATACTAACTCCAATCCAGGCTTCCGCTTAACCAATGAGCTCGCCATTCGAGCTGGGCAAGCTTGGAAGAACGTGATCAGTGCTAGCGTTGTCCGCATCGTGGACGTTTTTACAAACCGCGGATTCGGCGATAGTTCTCTTTTTATAGTGACAGAATATCATCCTCTGTCCAAGAGCCTGGCGGAGCACCACCTCTTAGGCCAGAACTGGGCCCGACCTGTCCGGAGCAGCAAAGACCAAGTTACGGAACCAGTCCTTTGGAGCTACGTGGTACAAATCGCCTCCGCTCTAAGAACCATACACAGCAGCGGCCTCGCAGCCCGCGTACTAGAACCCAGCAAAATTCTGTTGACTGGCAAGAACCGCGTCCGACTCAATGGCTGCGGGGTGCTGGACGTTGTCCAGTTTGACAACAATAACACTGTTCCTCTGAGCCAACTGCAAAGGCAGGATCTGGTAAACTTCGGGTTGGTTATTCTCTCCGTCGGCTCCGGAACGGGTGATGCAGGGGCCAACTTTGCCCGCAGCATGGACCTTTTTAAGAGATTCTTCAAACCCGAGCTCCAGAATGCTGTGGTGTGGCTGTATTCGGCCATGCAAAACCAGGAAAAGACGATCGACCAATTCATCACGATGATCTCGAATCAAATGATTACAGCATTCAATGCCGCACTGCATACCGATGACGCTCTTTATTCCGAGTTGGCTAGGGAAGTGGAGAATGCGCGCCTAGTGCGTCTGATGGCCAAGTTAAACTTCATCAATGAGCGGCCGGAGTATGAGCACGATCGGGCTTGGGCGGAAAATGGTGAGAGATATTACCTCCAATTGTTCCGGGACTACGTCTTCCATCAAGTGGACGCGCAAAACCGCCCCGTGGTCGATCTCGGACATGTCATTACTTGCCTAAACAAACTGGATGCGGGTACGGACGAGCGCATAACGCTGATCAGCCGTGATGAACAGAGTTGTTTCATCGTCAGTTATCGCGAGTTGAAGAAGGGAGTGGAATCCGCGTTCCAAGACCTATTGAAGAGGAGTGGGCCACTGCGATAGAAAAGAAGGACAATGTTGCGAGTGCGTCTATACAGGAGGCCTGGGTTGCAAGTGGTTGGAATGGGTGATCTGTGGTAGCATGTTGGTTGTCTGAACTTCGCCCGCCGAGTATGTAGTCGTGTCAACTATCTGAAGCCCGTCCGTGACGGGTAGCTCGTATACGAGGGAGACCCCAGGATCTAGACTTGCGGTCGAATATAGACTCCACAAAAGAACCGAACCAATCCGGATCCCCTGTTGCAAAAGTTGTCTACAGGATCTTTGGATGGCCGAGCTTCACGAACGATGGTGGGGAGAAAGCCTTGCAAACAGTGATAATCTCGTGTGGAGGTCGGCATGTTGGTCAGCCAGTCTCGTGAGAGGGTCTGCCCGATGACTCGGTCGGGAGTCAAACTGCAGCACTGTTTGATATCGCTTGGGAATGGCCCGGTTCAATATGTCCAAAGGGACGCTCAGAGTCGACACCGATTGCCGCCTCAAGCCAATTATTCTTCAGCTGGTTGCTGGAAGGGGTTTTCAATCTCTTCGCTCCCATCTAGTGGGGAAATCAAGACCAGCAATGTTCCCCTGGCCACAACCAACCCGAGCGGTCTGGTGGTCTCGTTTCCTTCATCGTCTGGTGAGACCGTTAGCTCCCATAACTCACATTAAGAGACCATTGAAGCAGCTGCAACTGCTATCCCGGAGGCGCTTACCTCTCATTGTTTCCTTGACATCGTCCAGCACCAAGTTCATCAACTGGTCATACCCTTTGAGCGTCCCAACGACTATCGACATAGGTCAGCATCGAAATCTTGGGCATTTCTCACCGTTGGTTTGACATAGTCCTCCAGGTATTAAGTGAAACGTACTTTCTCTGCCCCCGTTGAATTTCACAGTGATCTGCTTGTCGACGTATTTGCCCAGATCGAGGATATTCTCCTTCTTGGGCTTTTCGTGGGATTGGTTGGACTGATGGTGGCCACCACCACCTCGACCTTGGCCGCCTCTACCTCCACCGCGGTGGCCTCCTCCTCCGGCTCCTCGGCCGCCGCCCCCTCCTCTGAAGTGACCTCTCTCGGACATTAGTACTGAGCGTACGTTGACTCTGTCTGCTTTGAAAGGATGGCCGGGGCTCACGGATTTTACGATCAGGCGTGTGAGGTCGGTTTGGCTTGAGACAAACTTGATAGGCGGAATGAGGTTAGTGCCGTTTCGGAATTATGTTTGTCCGGAGTTCCGACATCGCCGTTGAAAGGAGCTTTTAACACGCCGCGTGTTGTGAGTCTGCGATGACGCGCACAGCGCTGGACCTCCCACTTCTGCGGAGGTCTACTACTACTAGTTACTAAAAGTACCTTGTGGCTTCTCCCACTGGATAGTACGTGGTTGCTGCCGTTCTGTTCAAGTTCAACGCAGTGACTGAACGTTGTCTCGTGGCTGAGGACGATTGCTTGGGAAAGCGAATAGCGGACCAGTAGAAACGGTACTAGGCAGTGACCAACATCAGCCGGGGCGGTGTATACGAGTGACGGTAGTAGTGGTGGGAAACGAGGGATGGAGGGCCTCGAGCGAATGGCGGCAGCTTTGAGTTTCCGCCGCCGAAACGGAATGTGACCTTTGGCGGGCCACGAATAATTCTGATTGGGCGGAGCGCCCGCTCGTGATGGTGGCAGCGTCCCAGCACTGCATCCCACTCCCACTACTACTGGCCTCCCTCCCGCACCTCTCCTCGAGGCTAGCAGCATCCGAATCCTCCTCACCCGCCTTCTAACGAGCACCTTTTTCGCTGGAGGGTGATGGAATCAGGGCTGTGGAACGACACGCTTCAACAGCCTGCATTATTTGCATGAGGATGTCGACATGATGGAAGTAATCTTACAAAATTTTGCAGACAGAACTACCTCCACCCCCAGCTGACCATCAACCTGACCCCAGGACGCCCCAATGCCTGGTCAGTACTAGCTTACTGCCTCTTCTTCCTCGGTCACGAACCTAACTCGGATGGGCCTTTCTGGTCATCGGGCGTCTGGGGTTGGAGAACACGGCCTGAAAGCAGCTCTAGACTCGGATGCCATACTAAGGTAGTAGTACCAATGAAAGGGCCACGCTCCCCGGAAGCATGCAGCAGAGATGCCCTAGGAATCACCGCGGCCGAGTCTCTGTGCCAAAGTCGGAGAAGAAGCCGCGCCCATCGTGAATTTGCGTTACAATCGAGCAGCGGCTACCTCTCCATCCCGTCTCGACTTCAGCCATCTTGCTGGCTATCGTTCAACCATTATAATAAAGGACTCCGCGGGCCCGGCAGCCCAAAACGCTCGTTGTGAGTGGTGGCCCCCTGCTTTGCTCCTCCCACGCACGTTGCAGCGGGCATTCCTAGTGTTCCATTCAGATGTGCCTACCTACCAATAGAGGCTTGCTGCGTACTCTGGCACACCACTAAAAGCAGGCAACGCAACTCACCTGTTGAAGGGCTTTAGCTGTCAGGACGGTCCGACTATCCAAAACTCCCTCTTCAAGTCATCTGCGAGAATGCTCAATACTACAAAGAACTAGCTGCACTCTGTGCTCACTCTGTGTGTGGTATTCCCGGCAGTGATCCTACCGTGACCCAGTAGTATCAGCAGAAGAAGAGTTGCTAGACCGGCACTGGCGGTAAATTCTCCTCGGGGCTTCCATCCTTGACCTCGCTCACCTCCGTGGCTTCCTGTACGACGCTGGCAGCACTCAGGCTGGAACCTCCCTGGGCATAAGATTATTTGGCCCCCCGTCACCGGCAGGTTCTCAACCGTCATTCGCCGCATTTCCACTCCTCCGTCGTCGCCCGCGTCCAGTGTTCGTTCCGTTGGCCGCCTTCCTGGTCGTCCGCCCGGCGGCCCTTCAGCCATTCCACCCCCTCCCCAAGTGTCCGCACTACAAGTTCTACCGCCGCGCCCCGAGGCCACTGGCATAGCCTGCGTTATACCTTCACTGAGCTTCTCTTCTCTCGTCTACTTCTTTTTATCCTTTCAACCACTATTCCCCCGCATACAGACACGAATTTACGAGCTCTCTTCCTTCGCTTACGGCGCTGCAGCTTCCACACAGCTTCGCCTGGTTGCAGGCTGTCTGTCGGAAGCTGATCTAGCAGCCCCTCTACACCTTCCTCAGCTCTCCTTGTTTCATACCACTGCCGGGCTACGATTGAGCGGAGCCTGCGCAGCCAGGGCGCAGCACAGCGCCGCGGCAACTTCTCGCTGCCTCACCCTCCGGGCCCGTGTCCATGCACAAACTACAGCAATGGATTCTTCAGCAACCATGACCTCCGAGCAATCGTCTCTCAAGCGGCCACGTTCTCCCACCGAGCACAACCCACTGCCTGCCGCAAAGGTTCCCCGGACCACCGCGAACCCCCTACAAATCAATTACTTGGCCCGACTACATAAAGAGACGATCCCTCTCGTCACTCCTAAAGACACGCTCCCAGAAATAGCCCGCCTTATCAGTGAATATGATGGGGTGATACAGCGCCATGAGAGCATGGCCGGGAATCTGGGAGCATGCCCTCTCGGACCCATCTTGCTCAAACGGTTCGAGAGATTGTTCGATGGACCTCCAAAGGTGCTGAAGTCGTCTTCAAAGGATAATACAGTTACCTGGCTCGATGTGGTGGAGTTCGCCCAGAACAACCCCAAACAGTTCAATCTGGAGCGCCAACGCAACGGCGTCAGGGTCTGTCAGTTCTTCACCAAGCAGTGTCGAGTTGAAATCTCCGAGGAGGACTTCGTTCTTATCGCCAGCGGTATGCCTCAGAAGCTTATTCCGCCGCAGCCCATCAAAGAGGATGAAGAGAAGGAACTCGCCGTCATGGAGTTGTTGGATCGTAACCTCGGTCAAGTCATCCAACTCGCAGATCAAGGTATGTTCTCACTATCCTGCCTCAATGGCGAGAGACTAACTGGTTGACAGTGTCTGGGAGGGCCCGGCAGCTAATCCACAAGATGAAGAACCGCCGCACGGCGATTTTGGCTAGGCGCGAACAAGAGGAAGAGTTGCGTAGAAGAAATGCTATGGGTCCTGAAGCGTCTCCCATGTCACACGAGACCAATGGAATTAACACTGGCAGGCCCCTGAGGAGCATCGAGGTGTCCCAGTCTCCTCCGGTTGGCTTTACTGCTGTTAATCTCAGACAGCAAGCTGCTGGCGATGCCGAGACACGGCCTTCTCGGGGTCCGGGTGATACGGGGCGGCCACAAGGCGAGGAACTGTACCACACGGCCAATGCAGGGAACGTGACCATCATCAACGGCAAATCCGTTAAAGACGCCTCACCTTCTGTCCGAGCAGAGATGATGAAGAAGTTCCTGACGCCGGACGAACGAGAAGCCGGAATGACTGACGACACCGGGCGCCGGTCTTCAATGGGTATGGGGCGTACAAACGCGACGCAAGCATCGTCAGCAGAAAACGCTCGGTCAGGCTCGATGGATGAGATCCTGGGTGGAAGCTCGGGTAGCAAGAACTTGTCCTCGGTGGCAATCCCCAACACACCAGCGTCCCTGATGCCTCATTTGAAACCTGCATCAGCGGATAGATATGATGATGGTGGGCCGTACAAGGCGGAAATGGTGAAGCGAATGGACAGTATGTGGAAGGGACAGAGAATCTTTCCTCCGTGTGATCGGTGCCGGAGGCTACATATGGATTGTCTGAAGAATCTTACGGCGTGCATGGGTTGTACTAGAAAACACGCCAAATGCTCGTGGAAAGATGTTCAGGAACACGAGCTCCAAGCTACAGGACCACCATCTCAGTCGCCGGAGAGAGATGCAGCCGTCGCGCCAGGCCCGGACCCTGGTCATGCACAATCATCACAACCGTCGCAACCGTCGTCCACTAAGTCCACCATTGAGGTTGCCCAGCCCTCGAATGGGGCAGAAGGACCGGCTAGCATTGCAAGAGCTTCCTTGCATTTGGCTGGTGAAAGCACTGAGGGTGCAAATGGTTCTACGCAAAGAGGACAGAATGAAGCAGAAGCCGATAAACCCACTGCGCCGGCTCCAGCACCGGCTCCAGGTGATTTGCCCTCAGCACGATTCGATGTGCGGCCACCGCCATTGGCTCAGCAACTACAGGATGCCGCGGAAGGCCGAGCACCGCCGGGACCAAACTCGTTCGCCACGCCAAGCTCACCAGTCCGAAGGTATCGTGAGCAGGATGACGACGATGATGGCGAAGGGGATCGCTTACAAGCACTGGCATCTCGCGTCTACCGCACCGCATCTCAGACTGGACATCGGGGTGCTTAGACCGTGGCCAGACACGTTTCATGATGATGGTCTGGTGATAGGCATGCGCTTAAGCGTCGGAAGTGTGTTGTGTTGGGCGACAATTTCTGGGAGCAATTGGCGTTTTGGTCAGCCAGGGTTGCTTTGAAAAGTCAGGTATATTGTTCGGTATTGATTTCTCCTGGTAAAAGACTAGTACGGCATGTTGGCTGGATCGTTGGGAGCTGCTGGCTTGTTTTTGGGCTGTATTCAGATGTTTGTCTTTAGCTGGCACTGGAAGGATTGTAAGTGCACGAAAAGAGCCGCTCGAGCAGGAGCAGTATATTCTAGGAAAACCATGAGCATGTTGAGCGGGACGATCCGAATGTTGCCGAGCTGTACAGCGTACACAGTAGTTTACAACATTGTTCTTGGACTGATCTTCATAGGCAGTCGTTGGCGGAACAGATTCCATCAGACGGACGACATCCCCCTCCCCACCCCCACATGACAGACCTGGGGCAACTCAGCTCTGCGATGAATCAATCAATCAACGGCCATGGCTTTGTCATCGTTGGAATTGCCCCTAGATGCCCCCGGGGATCCCCTCCAAGTTGTGGCCCGGGGCGCCGAAAAGTGCCTAGGGCGCTCAGGAACTTGAACCCCTCCGTGCACTCAATGTGGGGAGAAAAAAGGGCTTCAGGGCCCGAGTGCAAGTGCCGATGCAGTGAAGCCACCCCGGAACCACAGTTCGGATGGATTCACCACACTCAGCTGTGAAGCTGAGAGCAGCAGATGATGGCGACTCGATGTTGTCGCCTGATCTATTCTGTTCACAGGTCTGCTTCCTGTATGTCCAACCTCCTCCCGTAGGAGGTGCTTTTAAGTCAAACCCGCCGTGATCCTGCCCAAGATACCTTGGTCTTTTCTACGACCTGCACTCCTCGCCGCATTGCAATTTGTGTCTTCATACCCCGAGCCGTGACATACTTGTGTCTGTGCCCGAGGACAAGAAGAGACAGAAGAGGAGAGAACTACCGCTGCTGAGATTCCGCAGGTAAGTGGATGGTTTGCAGCCCGTATCCTGCCCTCCATTCTTTGCGCATGCGGCTTACATATGTAGGTCATCTAGGACAGTCTCCCTCGCAGCTGTCTGGCTCCTACGAGACGCCGGACTATCTACGTCACCGGCTGCTGCGACTTCAGTGAAATCTCGCGACTCGTTTCCTTTGAGAACAGTGACTCCCGAACCCAGCCCCTGTCGAATATCACCCTTGCCTGGACTAGACTCGCATCCTCAACGATGGATCCCTCACAAGTCAAAATTCCGCCGTTGATGGACTTGACCATTGATAATATCACTGAAAATGTCAACCTGATCAACTCGGCCAACCCAGATCCGCGGTTCAAGTATGTTTTGGAGCGGCTGGTGGTGCATCTGCACGACTTTGCGCGGGAAACGAGGCTGAGCTCGCAGGAATGGATGGCGGGCATACAGTTTTTGACCAAAACGGGTCAAATTTGTAGCGATGTTCGGCAGGTGAGTACTGTTGATTAATCGGTTCTGATTTGCCCAAAACATTGATCGGTCTCCTTGCATGACCATGCTCCGGACATTGAATCTGGAGGGAAGACTTACCACTCCTACATCTTATTGTGGGCGGAGGCGGCACTAGATCGAAGTTATTTGCAACTGACTCATTGGCTCTCTCAGGAATTTATTCTGCTCTCCGACATCCTGGGCCTTTCACTTCTTGTGGACAGCATTGACCATCCCAAACCCCCCAATAGCACCGAGGGGACGGTGCTTGGTCCTTTCCACACGCACGATGCCCACACACTAGAGAATGGGGCGGTTATATCCCACGATCAGAATGGCGAACCTCTCCTCGTTCTCTGCACCGTCAAAGACATCAACGGCAAGCCCATCGAAGGTGTCAAGATTGACATTTGGGAGACCGATTCCTCGGGCCACTACGATGTCCAGCATGCAGACCGCACGGAACCAGACGGTCGGTGTATCATGACGAGTGACGACCAGGGTGTCTTTTGGTTCAAAGCCATCGTTCCTGTTCCTTATCCAATCCCGCATGACGGACCGGTCGGACAGTTGCTGAAGATATTGAAGCGCCACCCCATGAGGCCGGCACACATGCATTTCATGTTCGAGAAGGAGGGCTACGACCATTTGATTACGTGAGTCATCACGCTCCCTATCTGTTTCCGACCACAGACTATGTCCCCTAAGCGCCACAGACCGACCTACTTTAAATGACCTGGACTGACGTGTTGTTCTTCGCAGGGCATTGTATCTTAGGGGCGACCCATACGAAACGTCAGATGCTGTCTTTGGAGTCAAAAACTCGCTCGTGGTCGACCTAGGTAAAGTCGATAAAGCCACCGCGGAGAAATACGGGGTGGACGAAGGCATTGCACTGCTCACTCACGATTTCGTGCTCGTCACAGATGAAGAAAGCAGGGAGCTTCGAGAAGAGAACTCTAGAAAGGCTCTGGAAAAGCTGGGGAGACGAGTCAAGATTGTTCAGGGGTTGCCGGTTCCTGACGTCGACTGAAGGGCCTTGGCCGCTTGGGGACTCGAAATGGCCCGGCAACAGCTCTGCGGAATGGCCTTGTCGGAGAGACATTTGAAATTGAACTTGCCTCTGCGACCGTTGAAAGCGCGTCGCACAAAAGATGTACGGTGCTAACTCCGGGGCTATCCTGGTTGGATACCTAGGGTACATGCATAAAGCCCACGTGGTGAACGAGAGGTGTTGGAGATCATAGGGGCGGAACATCAGGCCAACCCATGTGGATCTGAATCCACGCACGGCCGGACAGGAAAGCCAGTAGTACTGTATGACGGATAAACATATTTTGCGCTCCAAAGACTTGGGGCCCCCAGCAGACCTGAGATGGAGACAAAAATACAAACTGGGCCCAACAAGGCTGTGTTTTCCCGTGTTGGTCCCCTCAGCCTTGTCCTAACGAATGTACTTATGGACCTGGAATCCATAGTCTTTGGGTGCCAGGACGCCACAATCCCTGAAGCTTATTACATTACATAACTCCACTCTCATGTAGTATACATGTGGATATTCTAGATATCCCACCCAGGTTTCTTTTCTGCCTCTATGCAAATAGCGGAGAGCCAAGTCGATATTATTTTGTTGGCCGTGCGCCGCTGGCTAGTGCCATCGTGGGAGAAGAAACAGGGGCTTTTTATAGCAGTTGATATATCCTGTTCATTCTTGATCTATTCACGAGAACGCAGTCCGATAAGAATACAGGCGGGCCAGCCTTATGTATTTACGTGTGCCTCGGACGCGCACCGCGTGGTGCGGAAATGCCATTCGTATACCTAGGTATGCCAGCGTACGTTGGGTGCGAGTATGTATGCTTACCTACCTAGGTAGCCATGACCCATGTCGATTCATAGTACTGTCACAAGAACGGCACATATATATGCACATACAGGTAGACGGTATCATGAACGCCCCGTCTTCTGGTTCTCCTCCTACCTAGTTAAGTTGGCGGTCGTGGTGGTCGTGGTAGTCATGTAACAGACATATACATCTTGTTCACTTTCCCCTGCCGTCGGCTCAGTTAGGTACGATTCTATTTCCAACAAAGAACTTCGCCCTGCCACACCGCAGCCCAAGCATCATCTCGATCTCCCCATTCCCTCAACGCACGCTTCATCTGTTTAATCTCTTCTTGAGTTTCCACAACCTGCATACCAAGCCACTTTTCCCCAATCTCACCCTCAAGTCTCGCGACATGCACCCCAGCCCACCATGCCGCCTCGCTATCCGGACCGGGACCGGCATAGCACTGCGCCCCCGCCCCGACTTGCATTTTGTCCCTGGAGAAACCCGCACGAGTCGCCCACAAATGCAGACTTCGGCCGGCAAGAAATCCAGACGCCCCCGTGGCGCGCACCGCTCTGTCCAGACATGAAATGTACTGGTTTGTGCCGGCGGATTCGGGCTGGAACGTCATGCCGACGGCTTCACGCATGGCGAGGATTCCACCTCTGTCATGGCCATGCCCAGGTTTCAGTATCCGATATACCTCTCTGAGCACCAGCTCCGGATTAGAAACATGCAACAACGTCTGATGCGTGTACACGACATCCACCGAGTCGTCATCAAACGGGAGCCTGTCGGCAGAAATATCACCCACCACAAACGACAGACTCGGATACTCGCTCTCTGGGAATTTTTGTCGTGCTTGCTTGATGACTTGGGCCGAGGCGTCGATCCCAATCACCTTGCTTCTCCGGTGTGGTGTTGGTGAAGGAAGGTAGTCGCAGAACCCGGCGGTGATGGTCCCGGGGCCGCAGCCTAGGTCGACGATGGTGAAGGTGTCTTCCAGCTCGCTGGCGGCTGCGGGTCTCACTTCGGCTCTGGCGCTGACACTGTCGTCGGGAGCGGTGCTGGTGGAACTAGTGCTACCGCGGCAGGGGTAGAGGTAGGGAAGGAGAAAGGCGGCAGAATTGGACACGGTGCGTGAGAGGTGAGATGCTAGGACGGGGGCGGAGTGGCCTTGGGTGTAGATTGGTTGCGATTGTCCTTGTACTGCTTCTGGTTCTGTTGGTGCTGGAGTTGGAGCCATGGTGCCCAGATAAGTAAGTGCTGTATCAATGGCTATGTCCCTTTGAGTCGGTCGTCGAGGCCTGTGGACAATGAGTAAGTTGGCAAGACCTGTATGTTTGGTACAGTGGAAAGTTGGAGTGGCAAGTCGTCTTTCAGGCGCTGGATCCGAGGATGATTATTTGTTGAGTAACTATGTGGAAGAGTCAACAGCGCAGGGCTGGTGCAACTGATGCCTGAATCTGGTAGAAGGTAGTGTAACGACCCAGGCGCAAAGTGATAGATATATCCAGTACCAGGCGCAATGTGCACGCCTGACTCGTTTCGAGGCGAAGAACAGAGGGTCGACAACAGGTGACCCGGATATCACCTATTATATAAGACGGATTGGAAAAGTGACCATCAGCAGAGTTGTAGGCATGGCAAGGTGGTTTCAAGTTGGGAACTGTGAAGTGACGACCACGTCCGGCCTACCAATGCATCGGGCGTCCGCGTTACTCCCGCAGCCGTAGCTCGTTAACCGTTTTCGATGGCCGGAGTCAGTTATACCTACCTATAGGTTCTATTGGTGGTTCTTTCAGGAGCAATCATGCTGGAATATATCAAGCGGTTGCGGGCGCCTTCCGGGCATGGAAACTATGTTGTCTTTGGTTGGAGTTGACTATAATTTCTGAATTCTGGAGCTGGCAATAAAATCACAAGCATGAAGGAAAATGGGGGTCTTGGAGGTAGTCACCAAAAAAGCAATGACCCCCCTCTTCCCAATGAGATGCCCTAGGCAAAATGTTTCAAAGCAACGTGTCAAGTCGAAAATCCTTTGAAAATCAGCGTCGGGCAATGTGGCACATGAGTGATATGTATTCATTGAGATAGATGACTTCGGTATGGATGATCTGGGCTACGGGCCGGACAGCGCTTTGACAGTGATGATCCGGTGGGGACTCCCTCTGTGGAAACCTGCGACAGAGGGAAACCTCGGGGTCTACTAATGAGATGGTACCCAGGCCGTGGCAGACTAGAGGCTCAGATCAGATACTGCTGTAATGAACCGGTTTACTCAGACAGCGACGCCAACACAGTACACAGCGACAAGGATGGCAATATTTAGAACGTGCCTAGTCTCCCATTCACGGTGGAATGTCCGTGGTCGAGGTAATTAGAAAGAGCTCGCTTGTGAAGAATCCCTGTCTGGATTATTTCACCCCAGCGGCCCAGGGGTTTCACGTGTCCAATATGACCTATTCACTCTCAGAAATGATAGCCCGATACCGTAACTGGGACGGAGAACCCTACGAGTCTGTGACATTAATTCCGGCAAATGCCAAACGATATGGTTGCTGCATACGAAAACAATAGAGCATGTTCAATCGACATCAATCCTCTTTCCCGTGTCCACAATGTTGCGTGACTCCATCTGTCCCCTTCGCATTAGGTGTACTTTTTGTGCAAGCTTATATTCACAGCATGCTTCCTTTACTGGTGCAAAGCCTTAACCTTGAACTGCCCGTCGATAGATCGCTTGGTGGCTGGGGCGCCCGGGTAAACAGTGACGTTGCTGACGGCGCACTGTCGGCCGAAGGATTGAAGCCAGGCACCGTTATCGAACTCGGCATAGTTCTTGAGGATCTTGCCATCCGCTGGGTCAATGATCATGTAGTTGATGCCGGTGACGGGCAGGGCCTGCGGGTTGGGCAGCAATCGGTATCTCCAGGTGATGCTGTTGCAGTCATGGAAGACGTTCAACGTGGTGACCGAAACTTCTGGTTGCAGAACACCTTGGCCGTAGTCAAATGCGGCCTTGCTGTTGAAGGTGACGGAGCCAAGCTTCAGAAGCATAAACAATCAGTTCAAATATGGTACAGACAAAAGCATAAAACAAAAAACTCCTCTTTCGTTCCAGGGAGGGACTTACAGGGAAACCGGCCATAAAGTTGATCGAGTCCGAGATATCGGTGAATTTGTCCGACAATGTAGCATCGGACACGTCCTGCTTGTAGCCAGAGCCGGCGGGAATGCCCTGCGCCGCATTGCCAGCATAAGAAGTGAACTCCAAAAGTTGCGCGAAGTTGTTGACAATCTCGGTGGCTTTTGCGTCGTCAACCACGCAGGAAGATGCAGGAGTGCTGGACGTGGCGGAGGCGGAAGAGGAGTGACCGGACCAGCCCGAGCCGGAGGCGGTCACGGTAACGGTCACAGTGCTGGTCTCACCGGCAGGGCAGGTGGTGCCAGAGACGATGACTGCCGTCGAGCAAGCAGCACCAGTCGGAGCAACGTAGACCGTCTTGGTGGTCGTGGTGGGTGCGATAGTGGTAGTCTTGACTTCGGTGAAACCGAAGCACGAGCAAGCACTCGTGTACGCCGCCAGGTCACAGGCGCTGGCATAGTTGGGCACCTCGTTCGGACACACAGTCACGCTGGCGCGCTTCCAGTGGCCTTGATCTTTTCCAGCCCCAGTCACAGTCTCGGTCACGGTAACGGCGGGAGGAGTAACAGTGGTGGCCAGGAAGCTGGAGCAGTGGCCACCTCGCAGATGGTCATCTCCAAGAGCAGCCTTGCCAGTGACGGCGGCCAAACAGGCATTGGGTTTGCACTCGGACCCTCCTCGTCGCTCGAGAGGGTTGGCGAACGTGCCACTGACGAGAACCGCCAGCGGCAGCGCGATGGACAAGTACTGCATGGTTGTTCTGGAGGATTGATGTGCGGGAAAACGAATGGCTAAGGTCAAAAGAAGACCTCGAAAATGAGAAAAGATCAAAATCCCCAAACAAACAAAAGAGTGGATGATTGGAAATCCAATCGAGTCAAATAACCAGGTTATAGCGAGCTGTGAGGTAAACACAGAGACCCGTCAAAAAAGAGGGACAGCGGAGGTTCTTATGTCAACCCCATCGCTGGGTTCTGACGGATCGATGGTACTATGACAATTTGGGTCTCAAAGCCTCAATGCAGCCACGAGAACGGCGCTGAGACTGGTGGAAAGTGCGAAAAACCGAGCCAATTTCACACTTGAAACCTTGAGCTGGGCAAGATTCGCTGGAAAAGGAGTGAGGCCCACGGTTCACCTAGCACCAGTCAGGGTATGAGCCGAAAGCTCTTTGCGGAGAGCCCTGCGCTTGGACTCCTTAGCAACCACCGGGCGGACCTGCATGTTGATGGCTTGAATCCTTGATGGCCCAAGGGTGGTATCCGCCCAAAAGGCTCTAGACCGCTGTCAAAATTCCATAGACAACGTGGTAGAAGCTTAAGTTCACGGAGCACCCGAGGTTGACAGGTATCAAATTGATCGGATTCCCAGAAGTTCGATTCCTATGGTCCGGATATTCTGTTGGGAGAAATGAATTCAGACCGGCCCATAGCGTCATCTTGCGGACCTCGAAGCAGACAATCCTACTGCCATTCCAACTGATGTGGTCGATACCGAAGAGGAGCGTCGAACAAGTTCTCAGGAGGGCAACGGAACTGTGGACCGATCTCGTTTAGTCGTGCGGGAGCATACAAATGTTACGCGCCAGGAGAAAGAGGTGGATTGCCGGCCAATCAACATCAACTTTAGATGTTTGGGGCTGCCGCCGCCCAAGACCTGTTTTCGACGGACGGTCAATCTCCTACCCTAGCTGCAACCATGAACCGTAGACTCTCCCTTCCTTGCAACCTTGTGGCGGTGTCATACTCTTCGAATCGTAATAATGTCTGCGGAAGAGGGTGTGCGTCTCCCCTGTGTTACTGAGCATCAGGCTTGCGGCTTCAACCTGACACCTGGACATGGCTGCAATGCCCACGTGCCCCAGCGATCGCCATATCACCTTGCGGGTAGTCCCAGCGCGATACCCTATTACTGCCAACGTGAGTGCTACTGTACCAAGCCGTTATTAGTGAGGCCACCATATGCCGTAGCGGTGACTTTGGTTAAACGGAGGGGCTGGCTGTGGAGGCCATGGCTTCTGACAAGTTTGTCATCATGACCAAGCACTCTCTTTGCTAGGCGCCTACATCGGCATCGCTCGGATTCTGGACCCATGGCAAATGGGAGATTTGGTGGTCGACGGATCGGTTGGCGCCAAGTGGTGGAAAGCAACCACACTCGCAGTCTGTGAGCTTGGGGCCAGACCGAAGCCTTCACGTAACGCGTTGACCAGGTTCAGCTCACCACAGCACATAGTGGCTTTTGGATCGTGGGGTAACGACTCGCAAGGGACAAGGGCGCTGCATCAGAAGGGTTGCTGCTCCTGGGATCCGCTGCTGTGGTCATTTTATCAGCAGCTTCAGGGATGCGCAATGCAATAATGCATAACATACAACATTGTACAGCAGCAAGTTGCATTAGGATTAGCTCAACATTAAACAATTGCTTAAATAGACGCTAATCCAGGTACCGTCCAATAGAATGCGCGGTACACTTTATAGCTCCATTCACCATTTGAACTTAACCTTCCAGTGTAATTTCCACTTTGGAAGCCACAAGTTCATATTTCCAGCGCCAAAAAAAGGAAAACTGAAAAGGGCGCATCACTTTTCGTTTTTCGCTTCCTCACGACAACCGACTACTCTAACCATATCTCGTATACTAGCACAGGCGGCACAGCCATCCTTCATGTTCAAGCCACTGTAAGCGTTCGGAACAGTGTCACAGCAACCGGATTGGTGAGGATATATTTCATTTCTCCCACGACAAATCATCCTGGCTTGAAAGCCCTTATCAGGGGGAAGAGGCGCTGCGTCTGGCGAACCTTGCAAAAGGAGTCGGTTCCAGGCGTATCGCTGGAGGAAGATGTGTCCATTTCTGCAGGAACCTCCTGATTCAGTCTCTAATGACCAGGATCCAATAGTGCTTCATGGTGGGTGGACGGAAAGGATCCTTTTGATGTGTTTTCGTTTCCTTACCCTCTTTCATTTCCTACAGTCTATGATTTACCTCAACTCTATCAAAAGCCTTCAGCAAGTACGCTGCTACATGCCTTAAACCTCCTGTGTTGTGAGACTCCCACTTTCTCGAAATCAAATCACGTCCGCCGGGTACAGGTTCCCGAGCAAGGTGTACCGCGGTATCTCACTTCCATCGTGTCCTCAAGCCTACATTGGATAGATGACGACGAGGCGAAAGAGTCAATATGGAGCGCTGCCAGTGCAAGATTAAGTGAGCGCTCCGGGAGGAATGCTATGCCTGCAATGACCCGGATGTTCACAATCACCGACTGTCTTACAATCAGCTTGCATGAGCCTTCCCTTACCGGTGACAACCTTGGTTTCAAGACTTGGACCTCGTCCCTGTTGTTGTCAAAGCGGTTATTGCAATGCCGTAGATACATGCCGCGAGGCTGTGCTCGAGTGCTTGAGCTAGGATCCGGCACTGGACTTGTAGGCATTTCTGCTGCCTGCTTATGGAACACGCATGTTCTGCTAACCGATCTGCCGGAAATTGTTCCTAATCTGGAGCGGAACCTGAAGCAGAACCTCAGTGTCATTACCGAGAATCGTGGCAGTGTCGAGTCACGCGCACTCGACTGGGCAGATGAGAACGATCGTCCAAGTGACGAGCAACAGAAGTTTATGATCATTCTGGCAGCTGATCCTGTCTACTCTTCAGAACATCCGAGGATGCTGGTCAACGCAGTGAGTCGGTGGATCTGTCACGATCCGAGGGCCAGGTTTATGGTCGAGCTGCCACTACGAGATCGTTATGATAAGGAAAGGCACGACCTGCGGGCCCAACTGCATGATGAGAACTTTGAGCTCGTCACAGAGGGCACAGATGCTGGGTTCGACGACTGGCAAAGCCGTGATGGTCGACCGGTCGAAGTCCAGTGTTGGTGGAGCATCTGGAAACCGGTGACATAGAGCGGTATACATGTCGAATACTGAAATAGAACATAAAATAGAGACAAACTATGCCATTTGAAAGACTCGGCCCGGATGAATAGTCTCCTAGTCTGCATGGTCTGTCAAGCCATCTGCACCGGTGCACAGGGGGTTGTGGCATTTTAGCACTTCCATGCCCTCTCGCCTGCAGTTGGAGCCGACCATGCCGTATGTCTCTCCCGACTTGAGTCAAGGCCGTCTTGAACCATTAAATCAAAGACTCCATGCTTGTTCCTCAACGCCATGCTTTTCCCAAATCATCACTTTCTTGAAACCATTTCGCCACATCGGTCGTTGCCATGATCGCCTTACTCAATCCGAATGCCTCTCGAACTGAATTCTGGAAAATGCCTCTAAGTCATGTTTGGCCGGCTATTGTGCGCGGAGTCTTCGTTCAGCAGGATCATATCTGCGTGTCGTGCAATTAGTCACCCCGTCATGCCACCAAGATTGCCTGGGAGTAGCACAAGGGACAGACGTACTGTAGCAGCTTCTCGATCAAGTCCACGTGGGTCATCAGCATACGCCGACAGCAGTAGCGCTTTGCGCCAACTTGGTCCATAGCCTCGCTGTTGAAAGATCCGGAGTCAGTTAACTGTTCGATATTGTACTCTCGACTCATGCTTCCGCATGATACCCCACACGAGGGATGGTTCATCGCCGACTCACCCATCAGACATGCCGTCCTCCAGTAATTTCATGTATCGCTCCCATTTATCAGCGATCACCTGGAAAAAAATGTTAGACCGACTGCATCCAGACGTTAGCGGCGAGGCTTACCTTTCCACAGGAAAAACAGCGGATTGGGATAATCATCTTGCCCGACGGAATGAAGATCTCCCTCGAGGTAAAAGTGCAAGAAGGATGGATAGCGAAGTTGAGTTCTCGTGGTGAACTTGAACAGCCAGAAAATTGCCTCGAGGCGGCGCGTATGTCGAAATTCCGCAGGCAGATAAATAGGGCAGGCAAGTTTTCCGAGTTTTGCTTCGGCCAATCGGCACACTTTCTTTATTTGACAACCCAGATTGGTGCGGAGAAAAAAGTTCAGATTCCACGAGGTTGCGCCTGTGAAGACATCTTCACAGACAAATTGAAGGCCAAAGGATAGCCTTCATTGTTATCCGTCCTTCAGCTAGAGATGTCTCAAATCACTAAAAGAGACGCGGATACCGCGTTTGAGGGCGCCGAAAATAGTAGCCCTCACGCACTTAAACGGCAGAGGAAACGCAAAAATCGCACCAAGGAAGACAAAGATATTCCACAACAGCCAGAGACCGGCTCTTCCCCTGCGCCGCCTTCTTCGGCAAAGCGGAGGAAGAATCAGGTTGTGACGCCCCAGAAACATGTCTCTAGTCCGGCACAAGCATCAAGAACGACAGACAGCATCACCAAAGCATCAAAGCCTCATGCCGAGACATTGGTGCAGGAGTCGAAGTCCGTGGACGATTTGATCGCCGGGTTGACCAATGTCGGAGATGACAACAAGAAGTCCTTGGTGAAGAACAACAAGAAGAAGAAGAAGCAACAGAAGGCCTCGCAGGTGGAGAAGAGCAAAAGGATACACACGGATGGCGGTATGAATGCCTGGGAGCTATCATCGAGCACGGGAGGCTTGTTCATCAATCAGGACCCTCTTTTGACTGAGGACGACCAGTTCTTGATACTACCGACTCACTCCGAAATTCAAGTCTACGCTACCAAGACCTCTCTTCTAGTCAGGAGTTTCCGTGTCGATAACAAGTCGGATATCACAAGCTGTGTCATCTCCAACGCTGATCCAAGCAAAGTGTATGTTACCAGCTCGAGGGGTCTCCTTTCGCTATGGGATTGGACAACTGGGGAAAGAATCTGTCGTCATGACACTGGTCATGGACTGCAACAAGTCTTACCTCTTGTAGCCCCGGATGGAAAGGAAACAATACTCGCTCTACAGGAAGGGCAAGCCACCAAGTCCACTCTTGTGTTCGACTTCGAATTCTCTACCCGCCAATTTAAGCACTTGAAGACCGTGCTCCAGAAGGCCAACGTGGTGCCCAATATCAGATCTTTCGCCGACGGAGCTGTCTTGGTTGCTTGTGCGGATGATAGGCTCCTGGTCGGCCAATCACAACATGACTCGGAAGGCAGGCTTGGGCTGGACTATACATGGCGTGAAGTGTCTGTTTCTGCGCCGATTCTAAGTTTTGATGCTCAGATCAATTTGGGGAAAGCGAAAAGTGGCAGAAAGGTGCCTTTTCTGGATGTGGTGATTGGTCTGAACAATGGAGTCATCGTTGCCTACGAAGACCTTCTCTTCAAACTTATTGGCAAAGAGAAGAAGAACTCGAAAGACGAGGTGTTAGCCCGCAAGCTTCACTGGCACCGAAGTGGGGTCAACGCCGTCAAATGGTCTCGCGATCGCAATTATATCATTTCCGGGGGAAACGAAACCGTGCTTGTCATCTGGCAGTTAGATACAAACCAGAGGCAATATCTGCCGCATTTGTCGACGCCTATTCTTGGTTTGACAGTGTCTGCAACAGGATCAGCGTATGCGCTGCGGCTGGCTGACAATTCGGTCATGGTTTTGTCAACGGCAGATTTGTTACCATTTGCGAGCGTCAGCGGTCTCGCTTTGGGTCCTGCAGCCGCAAGTGCCTCTACAATGGCACTGCACCCTACCACAGCCAATCGACTAGTGGCTGCAGCTACTGGCGATGCCGTCACGCAGGGTTCTCGCCGCCCGAAAAACTTGACCCTGCTTCAAGAATATGATATGGAGTCAAATCTTCAATTAGGCCGTCAGGCTTTGACGAGGAATATGACGACTGCGAAGAATGTCGCGCCATCTGGTGGGACTGTGAGAGAACCCAATGTCACTCACCTTGGCATTAGCCACGACGGAAAGTGGCTGGCAACGGTTGATCAGTGGTGGCCAAATGAGCAAGATATCGAGACATTGTACATCAGTACAGACGATGCTCGAACTCGCGGTGCTGTTGTCGAGACCACTCTCAAATTCTGGCGTTGGAATGAGGACGAGAACACTTGGGAACTAGTAACTCGAGTTGACGAGCCTCACAAGCCCGGGGCTCTGTCTGTTCTTGGTCTGGCAGTCAACCCGACCAAGACCGAATTCTCTACAATTGGTTCGGATGCCTCGATTCGGATATGGTCGCCAAAAGCCCGACATAGGAATGGAGTACCCGTCAAGAACAAATCCAGTGAGCAACTGTACACTTGGAGCAGCTCAAGGACGATCAAATGCGATTCCGAGACGCAAGACCCTGATAAACCAGCAGCCTTTGCAGATTTGGCATACTCTGATGATGCGTCTGTGCTGGCAGCGTCATGGTCTGGTCCGGCGACGAGTCCTCGCTACGTCCATCTCATTGATCCTGGGACGGGCCAGATCTGCGTGTCGCTTCCGGACATTCTGTCATGGGTGAATGGCAGACTTGCCTTTGCCGGGCGTTATCTTGTTGCTGTTTCCCAGACTCTCAACATCGTCAATACCTTGACAACCCAGCTCGTTGCCAGTATCGCCCTTGACCACGAGTATGTCAGGCCAACCAGCCAAAGTCCGAGCCATCTTGCCGTGAACAAACTGGATGGAACTGTCGCCATCAGCATCTCGCGTGACAAAATTCCTCGGGGTACGAAGCTGCTTGTCCTAAGCCTCCGTACCGGGGAGCTCCAGACTGTCTTCGAGACTTCGTTTACGGGGACACTGAAAGGCCTCCTCGCATGCCCCACGGCACCTGGATATCTGCTTCTGGACGACAAGAATCGTTATCGAACACTCAAGCCAACAGGTGCATCGGGTCCCATCCACTCAGCTTTGGCGGAGACGCAACAGAAACAGGACCATGGCCTAACTTCTCGGAGCCTGGATAGTATTTTCGGTCATGGGCATACCGCCGTCCCAGGCGATGTTCCTCCAGCTGCTGTTGAAGGGCGAAGACTTCTGACTGCAGGAGAGGCCATCAAAGACTCGAAATCTACTGCTACAGGTTTAGACGGCGTGTTGAACATAATCACGTCGGCATCTGCGCCATCTCCGGAACAACTGTTCGAGAGGGTCGTGCAAGCAGTAGCACGGGCGTAAGATGTGACGGTTAGGAGTTACGAGGTTGGTTGAAGATGCGGTGGCTGATACCGAACTGGGTGAAACGGGATGGCCATACTACTATCCTCGGAACTTGTAGACAAAATGAGAACCACTTTACTGAGAATTGTTTTTCTCTGACCATCCCTGTCATCAGGGGCAAATGCTCCGGTACACAGTACTTGGTCGCAAGCAGCGGAGATAGAATAATGACTAAGCAGATTACCAGCTGCCGGTGCATGTGATTGGTGGAGGAGCGGAAAAACATGAATCGCGGCCGGCGATAGTTTGATGCGGGGTCCAGCCTCCCGGATTCGCAGAGCAGAGCTAGCTACGCTGCAGTGCAGTCGCAGTTCGCTGTACCGGATCCCGAGCACGAATACCCCTCATCGTCACCACTGCTGCACCGCACTAGCAGCCTGCAGTGATGAGTGCCGCACTGGCAACCAAAAGACCGGGAATAGACCGGACGCGGACAACTGTCACCTCCAAGAACCACAATGGCTGGCACTGGCACTGCACCAAGCTGGACTTGACGCTGCCACTGGCACCCAGTAACGAATACCAGGAGGTATCTAGGGGAGCCGCATGACCGAGGCCATGAAGCCGCAGGGGACTCCGTTCCGTTACCCACCTGCATTGACTTGTTGGTAGAGCACAGGCTGTTTACCGGTCCCTCTCTCACTCCCCCCTCCTCAGCTCTGCCTCCTCACCAGGAGGCAGCATTTATAAATAGGGCAAGCATAGCCACTCCTTTTCCCCCGTGGATTCCAATCGTTTTGTTTGATAGTTTCTTTCGTCCCTACCTTTATATACAAGATCTCAGCTTCTACTACAGCTTCAGCTACAGCTGCACCCTCGCCGTCCTCTCTCTCAGAGTTCCCCCTTCCCGTTTCCGCACGCACGCACGCACGCGCCAAAGCACCTTCATCAAAAACACCAGAACCACCTCGTCCAAAACTCAAAACCAACCAGTACGAACCAAAGATGCCAGCCAACGCAACGGTGCTATACCCCGCCGAGGCCGACGCCACCTTCGACATGAGCTACTACCTCAAGACACACATGCCGCTGGTGTCGGAGAAATGGGGTCCCTACGGCCTGAAGGACTGGAAAGTCGTCCAATTCGCCGCGGCACCGGACGGATCGAAACCATACAGCGTCGCGGCGCTGTTGACGTGGGACTCGGTCGAGAGCATCCACAAGGCCCTGAACAGCGAAGAGGCCAAGATCGTCCTGGGGGATGTCCAGAACTTTAGCAATAAAGGGCCCCTGTTTTTGCCCGGAGATATCGTTGGAACTTCGTGAAGAAAAAAGAAAGGACGATAAATTTTACAATAATACCCGGTGCCCCGTGCTTCAAAGGTCATACCTAAATTACCACACTCCCGGTCCAGCACTGACTGGCAGCGCGGGTATCTATGCCCTGCTAGTGCTACGCTACGTGACTCAAGTCCCTGTATAAACTTGGCACCTAATACTTGGTACTCGCATGTGGCTTGAGCAAGTAAATGCAAAGGGCATTACATATGTATCAAATGGAGAATGAATCACTTGTTCTATTCGTCTACTGCTACGAAAGGTTCACAACTATAACTGTCGTGTGTGTTCTAAAGTATCCAGCTCCCTAAAGCAGGTGTCTCACGTTTCATGGACTTCCAGCAAGGTGTTTGAGTAGAAGCGGGAGGAACCTCATGGCGTAAGGAGCCGGCGTATACTAGTATTCCACACCGGAATGTGAATTATCTCCCTCTCATCTCTCAGGTGGACCGACGACCGAGTCCAATGTAGGGTAAGTCTACGGCCCGTCACGAAGGAGCTTTACTGAGAAGGCTGCATACTACTACTGGCTTCCAATGCCTCTCATTCTTCGCGGCAAGTTGCATCCACACTGGTCAAGGTAATGGAAAATGTTGAATCGTACATTGTGTGCCTGGGGAACTCATAAACTGCTGATAACCACACCAACTCCGTGAAACTTGGAGGAAAATGCATCCTGGACAGTCCCTCAATAGACCATCTCAGTGCCAACCGAACCTGACATGCTCCCCGTAACCATCACTCACGGATTGTTCAGAAGATACTCTATCGCGCCATTCACACTTCCTCCAGTTCTCCGCAGTGCTTGAACATTGCGATCAAAATCATAAAAGCCCATCTCATTCAGTTGCTGTAACTGGGTTGCGTACCGTTCCTCTGGCGGTCGGTTGTCCGGGGGTGAAGCTGCACGTCCACCACCGAGCAGATCGAACAAACCTCCATAATTTGCCGGTTCAGTACCTGCGGCTCCACCGCCCATACCTCCCATGGCCCCCATAGCTTGCATGAACCGAGCCATGGCTTCCGGGTTCTGGAGAAATGGGTTGTTTTGAGGTGCAAAGGGGTTTAACGGAGGGACAGAGGCCGGGTCAATATTAGAACCTTGTTGAGGCTGTCCGAACATGGCAGGGTTGAACAAGGCTGCAAAAGGATTCAGCGGCTGCTGCTGCTCCTGCTGTTGATTCTGTGCACTAGGCGTTGCGTTATCACCCTGCGAAGAACTGTTGTTCTGCGCGTTTGTTGTAGTCGTGGGCTGGCTGGGGTTGGGAAACGGCGGCATGAATAAACTCGCAAAGGGGTTCGCACCCAAACCACCTCCACCGCCGAAAGCAGCAAACGGGTTTATCGGAGCTTGGTGCTGTTGTTGCTGCTGTTGCTGCCCTGTTTGAGCGTTCGAGTCGCCTCCAGCGCCTGGTGTTTCGGTGGTGTTGATGACGCCTGGTGCTGGGAAAGCCTCCTGTCCGCCAGCGCCGAAAGGTCCCATTCCCATGGCTTGTTGCATCTGCATGATCGATCTCATTGCCTGAGGGTCGGTCATGACACGCCGGAAATAGTCGGATTGCAGTATTTGTCTAGCTTGCGGGCCCATTGCTCTGAGATGAGGGCTCTGGTTTATCATCATATCCACGACTTGAGGGTTGTTCATGGCCTCTCGCATCATCTGCTGGAAGTTGGGGTCCTCTAATTGACGAACGAAATCGTCCGGACTCTGGGGTGTCTGAAACATGCTGGCACTTGGGAGTTGGGCGAAGCCGGCATATCGAGCACCAGTCAGACCGGCCAAAGGATCATTTCCAGTGCCCGCGGCCAGATTTTGAGGGACACCAGCTGCTTGCGGTGCGGCGGCAGGGGAGGAGGTAGAGGTAGAAGATTGCGCTGCAGGGTTCTGTCTTTGATTACTTGCGGCACTCTTGACAAGGTGCATGGTGTTGCCTTCTTTCACATTGTGCTGAGCAAGCGTGTCGTTATCTTTCAGGACTTTGCCGCTGTAAATCAACCGTTGGGCTGATGCAGGAACATTTGCGTATTCTTCGGATGCAAGCTTGTTCTTCAAGTCTATTGCAGTTGTCGAAAGAGGCAAAGTTAGTGTGTACTTCTGCCCGCCGGACGATTTGACATGGAAGGTAACGGTGGCATCTTCTGTGCCTGAAGCATCAGCCATCTTAGCGGTGTCGTTCAGAAGTAGTTTTTGGGATTTTCCAAATTGCGATAAATTAGGGAGAGGACAAAAGACAGGGTCGATGGTAGGTTGTGGCGGTGCTCCGACGAAGACGGGATTGAGGTTCGAGGTTGGCCTGCTGATCGACACTAACACACTTGCGCGAGTAGAAGGTAGAAGAAGGCGGAGGAAGCGATACTAGGTAGGTGATCAATGGCCCTGGGGTCCGAGGGAGGTGGTAGATGAAAGTGATCGTAGACAAGCGGATGTATTACTGTGCAGTGGAAGAAGTAGGCGTGATAAAGAACCGACTGCAGTTGGGTTGTGCTGTACAACCGCCGGTTTCCTGACCTCGGCGTCTGACAAACAAATGAAGCAATTATCGCAGATGTCATCGGCAGGCGCCTGCTCGGATTATTATTGAGGGCGCAGAAGGCTCAATAAGGCGGGTTTAGGGGCGCCTTCAGAACGCCGGGGGCCAGATGCGTGCACTTCCAGCCTCCCGCAACTGAGGGGCACCGCGAAGGTGCTCACCAGCGCTGGATGAGTAAGCGGCTTGCACGTCAATTCAACTCCTCGACTGAGCGTGGTCTTGGCGTTCCGCGACTTTTTTTCCGCCTCGTGTCGACACCTCCAACGATACAGAAAAGTCCACCGGGAGGCTTGCTCTCCTTCAGCAGCAATATCTTATTGTCTCAAGCCTCCAAGACCGCTCTCAGGTATCTGATGAGCCCGACGGTCCAGCTGAAACTACATTATGCCCGATTTATTTTGATCACTGCGTACCCGCTCCCAGCCTCTGAGAGTGCCGTATAGTCGTCTCCCCAGGCTTTTGCCCTTTTGCGTCCAACATGGCGACCACAAGCTCCATGTTCATGTACAACTTGACTATCCAACCGCCATCAGCTATTACTTCAGCCGTGTTGGGCCAATTTGCTGGTACAAAAGAGCAACAGATCATCACAGCATCTGGCTCGAAGCTCACCATCCACAGACCCGACCCTTCTCAGGGCAAAATCTCGCCGCTGTTCACCCAAGACTGCTTCGGTATCATCAGATCGTTGGCCGCGTTCAGGTTAGCTGGCAGTAGCAAAGGTACGTCCACACTGTTGACTAGAACGAGATATCCTGCTAACCTCCCTACTAGACTACCTCATTGTAGGCTCCGACTCGGGTCGCATTACAATCCTTGAGTATGTGAAGGACCAGAACCGCTTCAACCGTGTCCATCTTGAGACTTTTGGCAAATCCGGGATTAGAAGAGTCATCCCGGGGCAGTACCTCGCGGTCGATCCCAAAGGAAGAGCATGTATTATTGCCTCGGTGGAGAAGAATAAGCTGGTCTATGTCTTGAACAGAAATGCCCAAGCAGAGCTCACTATCTCTTCGCCGCTCGAAGCTCATAAGCCGCAAACTTTGGTCTTCGACTGCGTGGCGCTGGACGTGGGATATGAAAATCCTATTTTTGCAGCCCTGGAAGTGGATTATACGGAAGTAGACCAGGATCCAACCGGCCAAGCTTTGCAGGAAGTGGAAAAATTACTGGTCTATTATGAACTTGATCTCGGACTCAACCATGTCGTTCGGCAATGGGCGGAACCTGTCGCACGAGATGCGACGAAGCTTTTCCAGATTCCCGGAGGTTCGGACGGCCCCAGTGGTGTCCTCGTATGCGCAGAGGACAATATTACATATCGACATTCCAACCAGGAAGCTTTCCGCGTACCTATACCGCGCAGGCGTGGCGTTCTGGAGAATCCCGAGCGCAAACGGCATATCGTGGCCGGGGTGATGCACAAGATGAAAGGCCAGTTCTTTTTGCTGTTGCAGACCGAAGATGGTGACCTGTTCAAAGTGACCATCGATATGGTAGAGGACGACAATGGGCAACTCACTGGCGAAGTCAGAGCGTTGAAGATCAAGTACTTCGACACCGTTCCGGTGGCCAACAGTCTCCATATTCTCAAGAGTGGTTTCCTGTTCGTGGCGAGTGAATCTGGCAATCACCACTTTTACCAATTTGAGAAGCTCGGAGACGACGATGAAGAGACAGAGTTCACAAGTGACGACTACCCGGCCGACCCAACAGCAGCCTATACGCCAGCATTTTTCCATGTGCGACCACTGTCTAACCTCAATCTCGTCCAAAGTGTTGACGCGGCAAATCCCTTGCTGGATTGTAAAGTCGCGAATCTTCTCGATGAAGATGCCCCACAGATATACTCGATATGTGGTGCGGGCGCACGGAGCAGTTTCAAGACCTTGAAGCATGGCTTGTCTGTGTCGGAAATTGTCGAATCGGAACTGCCTGATAAACCTGAGGCTGTATGGACGACAAAGTTGACAAGAGACGACCAATACGATGCTTACATTATCCTGTCGTTCAGAACCGGGACCCTAGTGTTGAGCATTGGGGAAACGGTCGAAGAAGTTACTGACACTGGATTCCTTTCGACTGCACCTACTCTCGCCGTCCAGCAGCTCGGTGAAGACGCTCTGGTTCAAGTTCACCCCAAAGGTATTCGGCATATTCGGGCAGACAAGCGAGTCAATGAATGGCCTGCACCTCAACATCGTTCCATAGTTGCTGCCACTACAAACGAGCGTCAAGTTGCAGTGGCTTTGAGTTCCGGCGAGATTGTCTACTTTGAGATGGACACCGACGGGTCTCTGGCCGAATACGACGAGAGAAGGGAAATGACTGGAACAGTCACCTGCTTAAGCCTGGGCGACGTTCCAGAAGGACGTGTTAGAAGCTCCTTCCTTGCTGTTGGTTGTGATGACTCGACCGTTCGAATCCTGAGCCTCGACCCCGACTCGACTTTGGAGAACAAATCTGTGCAAGCTCTTACGTCGGCGCCGTCGGCGCTTTCGATCATGGCCATGGCAGACTCGACATCGGGTGGTACCACTATGTACCTTCATATCGGTCTCTACTCTGGCGTCTACCTGCGTACAGTTCTAGATGAGATAACCGGGGAGCTTTCAGATACCCGCACCCGTTTCTTGGGTTTGAGGCCTGCGAAGCTATTTCGCGTCTCGGTCAAAGGTCAGAACGCCGTTATGGCATTGAGTTCTCGGCCCTGGCTTGGCTACACAGATACCCAAACCAACGGATTCATGTTGACGCCCTTGGATTATGTTCCCTTGCAGTATGTTTGGAATTTCACCAGCGAACAGTGTCCTGAAGGGATGGTCGGTATCCAGGGGCAGAACTTGAGGTGAGTTTGAACCATTCCCACCCCAAAACACCCAATCTGATATGATGAACACATAACTATGCTCTTTCCGAGAGTCCATGGACTCATGCGGACTCAAACTTTACCAATTGTTCCTACTGAAGTCATTTACATTCCATCACAAGCTCGAGATCCAATTACCAGACAGCTTGGCTGACATGCTCAAAATAGAATCTTCTCCATTGAGGATCTTTCTCGGAACCTCCTCCAGGAGAACATCCCGCTACCGTACACCCCCAGGAAATTCGTCAAGCATCCTGACCAACCGCTATTCTACGTCATCGAAGCCGACAACAATGTGCTTGCGCCGGCGACACGACAAAAGCTCCTCAATGAATCTACGGCAGTCAACGGCGATGCTGTCATTCTTCCCCCAGAAGAATTTGGATATCCCAAAGCAACCGGACACTGGGCATCATGTATCCAGGTGGTAGATCCTGTCAACACCAAGTCAGTCGTCTTCACTCTGGAACTGGAGGATAATGAATGTGCCACGAGTATCACCACGGCACCATTTGCAAGTCAGGACGATGAAGTCTTTCTGATCGTTGGTACGGCGAAGGACTTGGTAGTGAGTCCTCGGTCTTTCTCCGCGGGATTCCTTCATGTGTATCGCTTCCACGAGGATGGCAAAGAGCTTGAGTTTATCCATAAAACAAAGGTTGAACAACCACCGACAGCATTACTCGCATTCCAGGGACGCCTTCTGGCAGGCGTGGGCCCCGATCTGAGAATATATGACCTTGGTATGAAGCAAATGCTGCGAAAATGCCAGGTCACCACTCCCAACCTCATTGTCGGCCTTCAGACACAAGGGAGTAGGATCATTGTGAGCGACATTCAAGAGAGTGTCACTTATTGTGTGTATAAGTTCCAGGAGAACAAACTCATTCCTTTTTGCGACGACGTTATTGCGCGCTGGACAACATGCTGCACTATGGTCGATTATGAAACAGTTGCAGGTGGTGACAAGTTCGGAAATCTCTGGATGCTGCGATGTCCGCAGAAGGTTTCGGAAGAGGCAGACGAAGATAACTCTGGTGTTCATTTACTTCATGAGAGGGGATATCTCAACGGCACTCCCAATCGACTCAGTCTGATGATACACTACTTTCCCGGCGACATCCCGACGAGTATCCAAAAAACCAATCTTGTTGCGGGTGGTCGGGACGTGGTTTTCTGGACAGGCTTTCAAGGAACGCTTGGGATCCTTGTGCCCTTTGTCAGCCGTGAAGACGTCGACTTTTTCCAGTCACTGGAGATGCAACTGGCTTCAAGCAATGGAAATCCACCTCTGCTTGGGCGGGACCATCTGATATATCGCTCATACTACGCACCTTCAAAGGGCGTGATTGATGGCGACCTCTGCGAGACATTCTTCCTGCTGCCGAACGATAAGAAGTTGATGATCGCCGGCGAACTTGATCGCTCTGTTCGGGAGATCGAACGCAAAATATCCGATATGAGGACGAGGGTGGCTTATTGATGAAGGTGTTTGATTGCGATTTGTTGCTCACGTTGAAGTATATGTTTGATGATACCCATATGAAGAGGCGATAGGCTGCTATTCCAGACAGCCTCCGAATGACATACTGACATGAAGAGTTTTGAGGGGACCTCCTGAACCGAATATTTTTCTCACTTCACGCTGTGCTTGTGCCGTCATTTCCCTTTCAACGTCTCTTACCTCGCTCGGTCCATCGTTTCCATCGATTGATCTTGAGCTGGATGCTGTCCGCTTCTTCTAGTGGTCCACGCATGAGACAAGAGCAATGCCGACTTTGGCACTGGCCGATCTTTGAGTACGATCCCATGTTTTGCGATATGGTGGGTGTTGTAATTTATGCGGCAAGACATACAGAGAACCTACATACAACAAGGCCTGTTTGTTCAGTAATAGCCCTTGGCGCTCTTGTGGTGTAAAGAGCTTAGAAGTCACGTCATCGACATTAACTATATGACTATATCCAGTATCTTCATCAAATGCTTTCCGATTACCGATCAAGGCGGGGGAATGAGATCCAAACCTTCCACGGTCAGTTTGAAGACATCCGACCGCGCGTAGTGTCCGGCGGCATCAAAATCCAAATGACCGCGGTCGCAATCGTCGAAGTCGACCTCTGTATAGAGCAGCTCCTGCTCCTTCTCCCAACATGGACCAGCAAGGGTCTTGCCCATCGGATTGACGATACAAGAACCACCGACCGAGACAAATTCGTCACCCTTGGGATCGGAAGAGATGCCATGGACAGTGGATTGCGGCGGCCGTGGGAACGTCTCGGGGGATTCATTTATCGGTGTAGGGGCCGATTCGGACGTGGCAGGGGCATCTTTACATCTCCATGCAATCTCATGGTTCTCTTCTGTGCGCATCGACATGGACCTTCGGCGGCCCGCCTTGACCTCTGGAGAACTGCCGCCGGCGCCCGCGGGAGTTCCGTTGGGCAACGCAGTAGTGGTAGCATTAAAGTGATGCTTGGTGGTGCTCCCGTCGTGGCGGCTATGTGGATCTTGTTGTGTCCCAGTGATCCAGCCAGGCAAATGTTTTCTCCTAACACACTGATTGGCACTGAGCACAAAACAGCGCCCTTCACACGCGACCGTCTTCATCAACGGTTCCCATGTATCCCGCGCATCTGCGGTCGGGGCCAACCACAGATTCACACCTTGGCTGTACAGACTATACCGCAGCAAGGGCATATAATTCTCCCAACAGATAGCAGTGCCCATGACGACCCTGACACCATTGATATTGGCCACGACCGCCTTGAGCGTCGAGGGTGACCCCTGCGCCCACACCAGTCTCTCCGAGCCGGTAGGCATGACTTTTCTTCTCTTGCCGACAACGCCGCGCTTCGGGTCCACGTAGACGGCGGCACAAAACAGACTGCCGCCAGCCTTCTCGATCACCCCAGTCACGATAAACACGCCCGTCTCACGCGCCACTTCTTCCAGAAACTCTCGGGTCCCGTCGCCTCGTCGTCCCGTTTCCTTGTTCACGGGCAACCGCCGCTCAATCCAGTCGTCGCCTGCACCGCCGGGACTGGGTGTGTCCCCTAGATCGACTGCTGATTTGGTGTATGCTAGGAATTGGTCGCGGCCAACATCGCTGCGGGACCCGACGGCCGCGCCGAATGAGCAGGTCCGTGGGTAGCCGCCTAGATAGGCCTCCGGGAATAAGAGGATCGATATGCCTTTCTGGGCCGCGAGTGAGGTCGTCTCGCGGAGAGCCCAGAGGGTTTCTTGGAGAGTGTTGAGGGTGTGAGATTGGGAGACTCCGATCGTGAGCTTTTGCGGCATTTTTTTTCTTCTGCTGTGCCCGCACTTCTTACTCGTCTGAATCGCGGTAGCTATGGAGTAGTGTAGCTCTGCACAGAGTGCGACCTAGCAGAGTTCACGACGAGTTGTGCTGTAGCTGGTAGAGTAAAGAGTAGCAACGGCGGTCGTGTAAGGTATTAGATTAGATTTGGGACAAAGGTGCAAGTCTCCGTTGCCCGCATTGACTTCAAGTTGTGTTCTTTCGCTGACGTCGAGCAGCGAAGTCCGACTACCGGCTTGCCCACGCAGAAGTACGTGGGGGAAACGAATCGCACATTGGCAGTCAAGAGATTTGGGTACCGAGGTTGAGCCAAATCTCCGGATTTTGTGGTTGGTAGCGGGCCCGGGTCAAGGTTTAGGCGTATTCCTATATTTACTACGGTAGCTTTTTCTGGTGCCTCAGCCTCGTCACAGTTACATTATCAGCCTCATAATCGGCTCGATTACCTCCTTTCGTTGAACTGGGCATCTTTTTTACCGGTTTGAGTGGAAAAATGTAGGTATAGCTCATCACATGCACGGCGGAATGATTACACGTCTTCAAGGTGTACAGTATACCTTCGCACCACATCAAACAACTCGTGAGCTAGAGGTCCGTTGATAAAGGCCAGGGACTGTCTGGAGAGGCATTGCTTACCTAGCAGGTATGTAAGGGAGGTCATCATGGCTCGACGGCAGTTGGACAGAGATTATCTGCTGGGCTCAGGGGCCGTTCCTCTGACTCTCCGACGACAGCCCAGGAACAGATGCGAGATCACGCGGGGCCCACGACTATCTGGTTTCAGACTGAACGGGACAGCCGACAAGTTCAGGGACATCCATGACGGCTGAGCTTGATTGGCTCACCAGCAATATCTTCTCACGCCAGGAGGTCTGGGGAGGCGGCGTAGAAGGCAAGACAGGCAAGGTCGTGCTTCTCATCCAATGCAACCCCATCATGATATGAGCAATGTTGTCGAAGGGATGGAAGCTGCAATTGCAAGCCCGCCCTACCTACCAAGGCAAAGTTGTGTTGTGTAGCCCGGAATAGTTCCGAATACTCATTATCCCCGACTTCCGGACTGTGGGCAATGTGAAGAAATTGTTTTAGGATTGATGTTGGTGTTGCGTAAAAACCGGTGTGGTGTACTCGATTCAACCTCTCTTGCTCTGTCTCTCGTTTGTCAGTGTTTCATAGTTGTATACCTGGCGCGCCTCGTTCACATCTCATAGCGTGTAGGTTTTCAGATCCAGATCACATGCCCCGGCCCCCGTGACTCACCAGAACTTCACTTCACTCCCATACGTTAATAGGTTTGAGTACTAGAATTCCTTCCAACATTCCCCAGTTGGATAGAAGCTCATCCCCTGTGGCCTAGTTGGTGCGCCCAATTAGTACTGATCTTACGATCCCACTGTAAGCGGCCCATAGTGACGATGCCATCGAAGGGTGTTAAAAAGAACCACATGTAGTATCGCACGCACCACGAGATGCAAGTTGACGATACTGAAGGTTTCCCCCCCTACTTGGCACTTCTTCCTGAAATCAGGTTGTCGGGTCAAGTGGCAGGGTTTTTTGGTGTTTTGGCAACAGGATTCCGTCCTCGAAATCTTTTTGCAATGTGTGCACGTGAGAAGATTATTGGTGTTGTCGCGTGCGGGTGGCAGAATCAAGCGGCCAATATGGATCTCATGTATTTGTTCCTACTCTACCACAATTAAATATATATTGACTCGGCAGTCCGTCCCCAAAATGGCGGGAACACCAGATTGGATCGTCGTTTCGTTCGGCTATCGGATCTGGACTATTTTATGCGATGACGCAGACAAGGCTGAGGTCGACTTGCCAATCAGAATGAGAGTTTAAGCTCCGATACCACGTCGGATGCGGACGCCGGATAAAACACCATCATGCCACGAACCGCGAATTTCGTTTTACATTTATCAAATGTAGAACGGACAAACAAAACGCACGTGTGTTCGAAGAAAACTTCCAGAACCCCATTGCTATACAGTCCGACGCTACTGCCGGATGGGGACCATCACCATCGCTACAGACAGACTAGATACTCTTTTCTCGAAATCCAATCCAGCCTTACGAGAATCCGCACCGGATCCGGTCAAAGGCGAGCGCCCCTCCCCTTGCACTCGTACAACGACAGTCTCGGCCCAGGGGTCTGAGGGCCCCCAACGTCTTATCCGGTCAGCCTAGGTCCGTGATTGGCTTAGGCCACCCCATCGCTGGACCATCCACCCGGTCGAGGCGACATTAAATCTCATATATTATACCGGTCGGCACGACATACTGTCCATCTATATCGTTGTGCGATCCAAACGAGTTACAGTAAATACAAAGGGGTCTTGTCCCTCTGGTGGCGGAAGGCAGAGCAGGGCAAGGCAAGGCAAGGCATTTCAACATACCACACACTCTCTCTTTATCCAGCCGTTCATTCCACCATGTCACAATCCTACGATCTGCTAGTCGGCACGTTCAACACGCCCCAACTGTACACTCTCCGCTTCACACCTCCAACGCCCACATCAGACTCTACGTCGACATCGACATCAACCTCATTAGCATCGTCACAGGAGTCAATACTAGCTCCGTCGACATCAACGTGCAGCGGCAGTCTTAAAATCATCCACCGCGCCGCGGCCATCGGCTCCCACTCGTGGCTTCACCTGACGCCTCGCAAGGCGAACGGCACACGGAACCTCTATGCGACAGCCTGGACCGAGCCACCGTCCGTGGTAGCATACGCAGTGAAATCAGCCACCGAGATCGAACTGCTCGGCCGCGCCGCGACAAAATCCCGCAGCGGCTATGTCACGGCCAACGATGTTGCCGTGTACTCTGCAGGCGGGGCGACGGGAGAAGTGTTCAGCATCGACCGGACCACCGGGGCATTTATCCCACCGCCCAAAACAGACGACAACGACCATAGACCAAATGGATCAGGAACGAAATCCGTGTCTTCAGCATCAATCGAACCTCGACCTCTCCAGACGCTATCGTTCGTCGATTCATCCGCGCAACGCGACGACGGCAGCGTGATGGACTTCGGCGGCCTCCGCCACGGCGCGCACTCGGCGGACCTATCTCCCTCCGGCCGCGCGCTGTACATCGCCGACATTGGCCGCAACTGCATCTGGACGTATTCCGTCTCGCCGGTCGATGGAAGTTTGACCCTGGGCGAGAAACATATCTCGCCTCGCCCCAACGACGGACCGCGGCACGTCTGGCCCCATCCTACGGGTGAGCACGTCTACTGTGTCCAGGAACACACGAGTATTGTGGATGTTTTTTCAACGACAAGCAAAGCCAACTCCAACTCCAACGACAGCAACAATGACGGCGTCTACCTCACCCACAGACAAGCTGTACGGATCATCCCGCCCGAAGAAAACGAGCACGACTTCTGGGCCGACGAGGTCCGGACCAGTTTTTCTTCTTCTTCACATCCGGAATATCTATATGCGAGCACCCGGGGGCTGAAACCGGGCAAAAAGGGCTACGTGGCAGTCTACAAACTTGCTCCGGATGGGACGATTGACGAGAATAATGATGACGACGAGGGAAGAACAACAACAACAACTACTACTACTACCACCACCAGGACTTCTTCTCCTGTGTCGCGCTCGTCGCCCGTGGATACACGCAGCGATTCGGACGTGTCCGTGGAAGAAAATGGTCCTCTAGTCGTCCCCAAAGCCTCCTATAATGGCTTACTTTGTATGTACGAGACGCCCACGAGTGGTGGCTGGGCAAATGCGATTCAGCCGGGGCCGACGGTCGGGGGCGTCGAATACCTCGCCCTGACGGATAGTGAGGAAGGGTGGGTTTTTATTTTGGGGTGGGATGGAGCAGCTAGAAAGATGAGGGAGGTGGCGCGTACGAAATTGGATGATGGGGCTGGTGCCGCCACGGCGGTCTGGTTATAGTCTTTGGTCGTTTCGACAGAAAGATAAAGACAGAGAACACCAGGGCATACATTATGTTTTGGATTATAAGTGCAAGACCGGACAATGAAAGCATCTAGACAACGAAGAACAACAAAATATGGATTCGCCGACTCAGAACGATAACTAATTACTGTTCGTCACGGTCACTGTCTCAAAGCGTAACTTCAGAGCGAAAAGCTTTCCAACACGCTGTCAGTCAACAGCCACGTACGAATCTAATCTGTTTGCGCCAACGACGGCTGTGTTTCCTGGCCTAGTCGGTCTTCTCAGACATATTATGACTGACTGGAGCAGTTCCACCAGCAGCTGTGGCAGCAGAACCGTTCGTTCCTGACCTGGTCCTCCGCCTGGCCGGTTCAAGATCTTGATGCACTTTGCTTCTAGTAGCATGCAACGCGGCCATCTGCAATTCCGAGTCCTCGTCACCGCTGTCCTCCTCGTCGAGTGGCTTCTTGATCGCCATGGTTGGGGCGAACTTGGACTTTGCCCTCAGTTTCTTGCCGTAGAAATAGAATAGCACAGGTATAGGGACAAGGCAAAAAGCGAAACATCCCAACAAAGTACTTGCCCATTCGATACCCATGCCGTTGAACATCTGGCGCGCAAACAGGGGAAAGCCTGCCGCTGTTATCGACCGGAGGAAAGTGTTGGCTGCAACTGCGGAAGCCGCACTAGACAAATCAACCTGTCAGTATCTCAGGAAACGCAGAATAACAGGGGCATATGACAGGGTCTAACATACAACATGAGGTACGAGTCGATCAGGTAGTTGAAGCACTGAATGAAAATAGCCAGGAGTCCAAAGCCGGTGAAGAGGCCGGAAAGTGTGGGGACTATCCAATGCACGGAGGCCTTGTATCCAGACCAGCCGAACCAAAACAGACCCAAGGCAAAGAGTGTACCTCCAATAATGACAGGAGGAAGACGCCATTCCGGCACGGGAATTCCTCCATTGGCTTCGAGCTTCCTGTTGTACTCTCTGGCACTATAAATGATGTAGCCTGCGACGATAAAAATGCCCACCACCATACCGAAGAACGGTAGGCCCGAAACCCCAGGTTTCATGTGATGAACTCCCTGGAAAACGAGCGGATAGGCGGTCAGGAAGAGATAGAGCAGACCATAGATGAACGACATGTAGATTGTGATGGCCAGGATGATGGGCTCGGAAACCAAAAGCCGAAGCGGACGGGAAAAGTTCTTAGATATCAGCTCGCGGAAGTCCACTTCGACTTCTTCCTGTTTTGCGTGGATGCCCCAATTCTTAGTGCGGCGACGCAACTCGGCGGCTTTGCCGACCAAAACCATGGGCGCGTAGGATTCCTCGAGAAAGAAAATGTTGAGAGTCCACGCGGCAGAGCCCATAATTCCCGGCAAATATAGGTTCCAGCGCCACCCCAGGTATGAACTGTTGATGAAGCCTCCAATAAAAGGCCCCAACATCGGACCCATGAACACCATCGAGGAGAAGATGACGATGGCCGTACCTCTCTGGCTATTGTCGAACATGTCGGCAAAAATGGCCGCCACGACTGCTAGTGGACACGAACCAAAGAAACCCGTGAAGAAGCGGCAGATCATAACTGTTTGAAGGTCTTTGGCCGTCGCACAACCAAAACAGAAGACCGAAAATCCAAACATCCCAACCAGGATGGGTAGTTTCCGGCCGCGCAACTCGGAGAAGGGGCCCCAGCACAGAGGCCCAAACGCATATCCCAGCACGTATAGCGATGTGCTGAGAGTAGCAACCTCGGTGCTGACTCCGAATGCGTGACCAACAGACATTGTTGATGCGGAGAAGACGGAGGAGGTAAAGGTGCTGGTTAAACATGTAAAGGCGAGAATGACTCCAAGATAAAGTCTAACATCTTGTCAGCAACAGACCCTTCGGTATCTCTATATCTCTTCCAACAGGGTGCATGCGACCTACTTTTTGAGGAATGGCCAGTTTTGTGGATGTAGCGGATCATCCTTGCCGTCAAACTCCACGACGTAGTCTTCTTGTGCGGGTAACATGGGAGGATATGGTTTGCCTCCGCCGAATTCGGGTAGAGGCTTCGAATCTGGTTTGGACTTGAGGCTTGCGCCCACGGTCTGAATTTGTTGTAAACGATGTGTTTCTGTTCGAAGATCTTCAATCGGATGCGTCGCCGACCGCCGCAGACCAATGCTAGGGCTGGGCGCGGTGGCTATTCGGCCCATTGACGTGCCTGAAGAGGCGCTTGAGCTTGTAGAACCGGTTGAGGCCGTGGCCTGCCGTGAGATCGGACTGCGAAGAGACCGGCGCTCTTTGCTCTCTTGCGAGAACGTCCGAGTCGCCTGCATCTCCGCGCGCTCTAAGTCACGGTCCACGATATCCATCTTTGCTGCGGTATAGTCTCCTTCGATTTCTTATCTTCAAAAGCGATTCGTTCCTCGGCACAATAACCGGACAATGCGCATTCCCAGCGCTGCCACGTAATTGAATTCGTAGTTCTTGTAGAAAATCAAAGGCAAGGCCGACGAACGATAGTGATAGACGATGAAAACTGTTATAGGCTGGCTGTTGTGGTTTGCGAGGCTCCTCGAGTCTTCAAGAAGTTGTCGAGCTCATGGAGGGGTCAATAGTGGTTGTTTCTGAATATCGGCATGGGAATCATACGGTTGGAACGGGAGGATAAAACGCCGCACCGGGCTGATGTTGTGAAAAGAGAGACGGTGATAATGAAGATGGTATTTCGGCGACGAGTGGACGGAAAATAACCGGTGGGATGAGGTGGTTCATAAGTGTGCATCTGTAGTATGCTTGTGTGCAGCCGATGAGAGGCACGAGAACGGCAGCGCAATGGTGGGCATAGACACTGGCACTGGAGAACACTGGAGAATACTGGCAGGACTGAACAATAATGACATCGACGTGCTGCCAGTGGTGCATGTGGAGGCCTCCTAAGCCCGGAGCCCCGGCAGCTGGCGATATGATTGTTTACCCAGCTCTTTAACTGGACCAACCCACTCGGGCTCATGCAACCTTCGGCATTAGAGACACCCGACGTCTAAATGGTGCCTAGGTAGGTAGGCACTGCCTATAATACTAGTGGCAGTAGTGGGCATCCTACCTGCAACGTGGAGTTGGCTTCTTCCAGGGCCCTAATTAGCGGACATCGCTAATAAGCGTAGCCAATACCTTGGAATCAGGTGCTAACTCGCATTATGGGCATTTATTGTATGTTCTCCATGCACCTGGCAGTGGCTAATCGGCTTCACCACCGTGATTGGCACCAGATATCGTTCGGGCTCCGCTGACTCAGCCTCCACAATATCGCACACAGCTTAGTAACACGATTAGTAACGCTGACGGCTACAGAGGACCACTGGCAGTCTTGGAGGGGCATTGGGTACCCGCCCTTTCTTGATTGTGCTATAAACATATCCCCCGGGTTTCCATCGTCACCGCCGAGTAAGGTGGGCCTCCAAATGATTCCTGCGCCGAATCTCAGTCCACCGGGTGAGGTCGCCCGCCTCCAAAAGACTGATCTTGCGAGTCAATCCGGTAGGGTCCCCTAGTATCACCGGCTCCCACCCTTCTTCTTGACTAGTGTCCCGATCTGCTTCACTGGGGATCATCTGCACTGTCTTGTAGCGGACAATCACTGCGAGGACGAGGAGGGTCAGCAGCAGAAGAATCCCAGCTACGATACCCGCCGCTCGCATTGCTCCATATCTTCTCTCGACGCGGCCACAGATCCCCGTTGACACGGCCCCGAAGACGAATTTCAAGAATTGCGTGATCGCTATTGCGGCGCTGACTCTGGGATAGCAGGTAAAGTTTGTTCTTTGCTGACGATATCGTCCCATGACACTTGGTCGCGCTGGTCGCCCCGTCATTCCCGGTTGCAGGTCGGATGTGTCAAAGGTCTGCATCATCAACGCGTAGCATTCCCCAATGCCCAAGACCGAAGCATAACCTACAAGTCCTGCAAAAAGACAAGGAACTGCTACCGGAAAGACAGGTCCTTTCGAGGTAAGGGCGTAGCCAATGGCTGCCAGCGGCAGAAATACCATCCACAATGATCGACGGAGTGCATGTGATGTCCAGCTCATCGTGCTCTCTAAGGTCATGCTGTTCGACCGTGGAGGTAGATATCGGGCGCGACTGAGCCATGAGGCCTTCTGAAATGGGATGGCCATGCTTGCTCCGATGGCCAAGGATAGGACACAGAGCCCAACTTCGACCGGTTTATATCGGTATCTCGTTGATGCCAACGCTCCCAGCAGCTGCTTGCGTTAGCTCAAATCTTCGTGATGTTCAATCTAACTCACCATCAATATCAGCGTGAACTGTGCATAGATCCATGCGGCATATATGGACAACACGAGGAAACCAGGTTGATTGACCATCTTCCAGCTCAGTCGAAGACCAGCAAGTACCTCTTCGCCCCACCAATAAGGTCCATTGCCTGTCAAGTGCAATTTGACCTCACCGCGGGCCACCCTGGTGAAGCTACCGCCGGCACCCAACATTTCAGCAATCGTCCTTCGAAAGGCAGATCGGCGCACTTCTGGCGAGACAACATTCAGCAACAGGACCGCCATGAGGAGCATCAGGGATATCCAGAAGCCCCAGTCAACGGAGGTTCCGCTGATGATGAAAGCCCCCATCACAAACCCGATGGCGATCGATCCAACCGTGCACCAGGACCAGATCGCCAGCCAGACTCCCATCCCTCCTCCATGTCGACGGACGTCAAGTGGATCCTCAAGGTCCTCGTTGGTTTCACTGCTCTTGAGCGACGCCCCGAACAGATCTAATAACGTTGCTAGATTGTTGATGTTCGCGAAACCAAAGACAAGTCCCGAGACACCCCGAGAGAGGAGCAGAAGTATCCGGTACCTCCGCACATCTGGCGTTCGAAAGACGCTGACTACCAGTCCTTGAGGTATTTGCAAGCACAATGTCAGCGTCAAAGCTGCGATGTTGTACGGTTTCCGGCCGTGCAGAAGAGGCAACGGCCAGAATACTAGAGTTGGTATGGCAAGCCCGCAGTAAAGAAAGACATTGCCGAAAATCATCAAGCGGTTGAAGTCGACAATCACGTACTGGATTGCAGGCACCTCTCCAGAATAGATGCCGATCAAGAAGCCTAGACAAGCAGTGTTGATGCAAGAACTGAGGGCGACCCAACGCTTTTTAGATGTGGTCCAGTGCCGGGCTATTGGGGCATGGTGGCATGATTCGTGTACATCGAAGTCATCTGGATGGTCTGCGATGTCCACGTGCCTCACGCCATTCAGATCAATCTTGTCACCGTGGGCCAGATTGATGCTCGCTTGTCTGGAATCGATGCCAAATACATGGGTGAAATGCCGCTCATGCCCTGGCCGGGGCACCTGGAGTGGAATACCGTCGTTCAGCAAGAAATCCTTTTCCTCGTCGTCATCCTTCATGTCAACGCTATTGAGTCTCAGCGTTGGTAATGGCTGCTCTCCTGACGTGCTTCTTTGTCTGTCGTGAGGGTCGATGGCCGAAGTGGTGCGTGGTCTGACCTGCGGTGAACCGAGGGACCCGATGCCTGAGTACCTGCGAGGTCGCCTTTCTTGCTCTGAGGTCTTTCTGCCCCGCGACAAGGTGGCTTTCTTTTCTTCCAGTGGATCCGCCACTGGCTGCGGTGGTTTTAGTGCCTGATCGCTACTGGGCGCGGTTTGTGAACCATCCGAGTGGCTGGTTTCGTCGTGGTCGTCGCCCTTCTTGTTATGAGTTGTGCCCGTCTTTTCGGATGACGGGATTTGTAAAAGGCTTGACGGGTGAGCAACTTTTGCTTTCACCTCCTCAAGGCATGCGTCTACCATAGAAGCAATGGCCTGCGCAGGTTGAAACTCCTTTGCTTTTGATGCAGCTTCTGATATTTGTTCTTCTGCCGTACCCGCCATTTGGGCGATCCTGACAGCTTCATCCAGCAAGCGCTCTAATTTATGAATGGTGTGGTTCATAGTCTCCCCCGAAGCATTCGGCCGTCCATGTGGACGTTCTTCGTTCTGAGCAGCGTCATTACTTCGTGGAGGATCGGCGGCAGCAAGGTTTCGACCCGGGCCCAGCGATGATACGCGGGTTGGCCAAGTATCTGGAGGGTGTCTCTGCCGCCCCTCAAGCTCACCTGTTTCTGTTTGTTGTCCTTCATCTCGGGCTGACTGAGTCACAGACGGCCGTAGGAGTTTCGCGGCGCCCTATACCATTTCCCATGGCCGCATTGATGATGTATCTCAGCATTTACGAGGAAAGACATTGATCATGGGACGGGCATTTTGAGGATCTATCAGGTCTGGTAGATTTCAAAGAATTGGGATAGCAATAGTTGAGGGGAATAATATTGATGGCCAGTATAAGTAGGTACTATTCAGGTGTAAGTGATACTACGCGCCGCCTAGTATTCATCAGCTGCCCATACAATGGCTGTGTCCAAGCTGCACCTTCTACGAGTGGCTGTTCTTCCAGATCTGGCTCAAGGGTCCTTCCTGCGTTGAAAAGAAGAACCAAGAGTGTCGACAAGCTTCCTGGGGGTGACCTTAAATAAGCTTATTACGTGAAGGAGGTGTGGGGTTGATTTCCGAGCATGAGTAATGCGAGAGATCACACTGATGTGCTGCACTAGAGACCAAAACATGTGCCAAGGATATACGTGTTCTGTCGCGTTGGCTGGAGTCGCTGAATGCTAAAATCCTCAACATTTGACTGCCGCTCCTGATGAGCTGTTCGTGCCTCCGGGTGTAGCTAAAGACTGGCCACCGGGACGAGGATGGCGACACTGAGTCTGTGACTGTCGTACTAGTACTGCTAGTAGCAGTATAGTGGTGCAGTGCATGGTTCTACCCAGGGCCAGGTTGAGTGACAGCCGACTTGGAGTGCTGTGCAGCCTGAGTGCCAGTGGTGATGGTGCAGTGGTGGTAGCTGCTGGCCACGTCGTTACCCCTCCATTCCAGAGTCAACTGCCCGTTTGCTGTTCACCGTCGTGAGTCTAATCTTTTGCGGCCTGCCAGTGCGCCAGCTGTTGTTGCTCATTTTTAGAGATCCCCTCTGCTGGTTAACTCTTTTCCACAACTGTCTCACTTCATCTTTCCCTCACCTTACCATCCATAACACCGCCAGTCGCCCTTTTGTTACCCTCAGAGTTGCAAGTGTCTTGCCCTCTGTACTCCGTCATGGCTTACTACGACAACCGATCTCAAGGCCAAGGCTACTACGCCCAAGACCAGTACGGCCAGCAACAGTCCTACACTGGCAACGGCCCACCATCAGTCCCCGCACCATGGGTCGCTGAATGGGACTCGCAGAACGGCTGCTGGCTCTATGTCAACCGCGAGACAGGTCAGCGCACCTTCGAGCGCCCACAGTACTCCTACCAAGATGCAAACCTGCCAAACTACGGCTCAGGTTACGACCGAGGATACGGCGGACAAGCTCAAGGAGACTACTATCCACAAGAGCCACCAAAGGAATCTCACACTGGTCGAAATATGGCTCTGGGTGCAGCTGCTGGCGTACTCGGTGGTGCTTTATTGATGCATGAGGGCGAGAAAGCCGGTAAGTGTTCGGTTCATAATATCACTCCACTACGTAGATTGCCAAAGGTTAAGCTCCATGCTGACCCTCTTCCAGAAGACAAATGGGACGACGCGAAATATACGGCCGAAAATGACGTTGCAAACGGCATTCAACACGTGGAGGATTTCCCGGAAAATGCTGCTCGCTGGACTGGTGAGAAGGTTCAAGATATTGAAGACATTCCTCAAGACATTGAGAACAAATGGGACAACGCCGTCCAGGATGTTGAAGACATCCCTGAGGATGTTTCTGGCTGGGTTGGCAGGAAGGTGGGAGATGTCGAGAGGTTTGACGACAACATCGACAACGCTTATGATCAAGGACGTGACGATGCAAGGTACGAGGATGACGACCGATATTGATCGGCACCACAGATTTTGCTGCATTCTAGCAATAAGGGGCTGATCGTGGAAAGGCAAGCATCATATGGGCTGAGTGGCAGCTGTGCTGGACCCGATAGATCACATTGTGTGTAGGGTGCGTATTGGTACATGGCACGGACGAGAACCATAGATCAGCTCAGCTACCGAGAGGACATTCTTTTCGTGTATTTGTTCAACAGTCAGGCCATGTCGCGAGCAAACAAGGCGGACGTCCCCCGCAGCTGGCTTTCCCGTGTGGAAGGTTCCCTACTTCTGTGCTGTGGGTGATCCTATTTGTCTCTTCTTACATTCCAAAAGACAAGGCACTCCCTTTCGCAAGGGAAGCGGTCAGACTGAGCAGGTTTCGAGATGTCCAAGCCAACCTGCGTGCAGCAACTGTGCTTAGTTGCATGTTGGGTCCAACAAATGAAGGTCAGGAAGCAGGAGAAAGAGCCAAACTGACAAGACTGCAAGGTAGGTGCTCTTCTAACATGTTCAATCTTGGACCATCTTAGACATACTCACAAGCCACAAGCACCTTTGCAAACCTGAATCCCAAAATAGGTGTGTACTATGATCATTTCTTACTTCGGCCCACCCCAGCAAGTTCTGCAATATCTCTGAAGTACGCCGGCTATGTTTTTTGAGCAGTCATGACAAGTATAAGTCCCTTCCCTCTTTTCATCAAGTAGTCTTACTCTTGCCGCTGGGTGCCTTTCAAACTTGAGGGCACATATAGGAGGTCTAGGTTCTGCATCTCCCCACAATATCCAGCCGTTCGGAAGCACTATTCAATGACACTGGCAGGCACCTGAATCTTATGAATTGGACAAAATTGATATAGCTGAGACTGCCACTGTCCACACAATCACGATGTCCAAGGCAAGTCTCACCGTGAGGCCACCTTGTGCACAGTCCTTAAACTCATTATGCTAGACACAAAGAAGTGAGACTGATACTAATCACCTCGCTGCCCCAACTGCGGCTGAGACACAATATCAAGCTACGCAATGTATCTTATGTACAATACGTACCTCCATGTATAGATATATGGATGTGCGCGCAATGTGCGGAACCCTTAGCAACACAATATCTTCTTCACAGGCCTATTGACAACCCAACGATCCCTATTCACACCTCAGTCATAATAAACAAGTGAAGCGCCGCTGTCCAAGTCAAAGTCATACACCAACACCGTCCCTTCTTCTCCTTGACCACGATCACAACCACCAACCACCAACCACCAACCAGACAAGCCAGCAAGTCCGGGTAGTACAGCGGTCGACAGGATGGAATCGACCTCTCAATGCCGCTTCTACACTCAGCAGAGTACCATCGACAAGATCGAAACAGCAATAGAGGCGGAAGATCTCAGATCCACTCAGGATATGGGCGAGAATACACACTCTGGGTCTTTTTCGATCAGCAGCTCTGCCAAAAGAGAAAACAGATCTGGATCAAGCTCAAGCTATGGATCACTGGACGCGCAAATCTACCAGGGAGAGGAGGATACAGAGGAAGAAGACTCGCCGCCGCCTTTCCAGATCTACGACGATGATGAAGAAGGTGATGATTCTGGTGAAGTTGATGAAGAAGATCAAGAGCCATTCAACCCAGCAGCCTACGAGGAAACCTATCCTATCGAGCAATCAGGAACCCCGTTCGACCAAGTCACTTGGAAAGCACAGTGGGCCGATCTACAGGAATGGTGGGATTCCGAGACCGCGCAGCCCGAGCACATGCGCAACGACGGCGGCGGCGACGACAAGGACAAGCTCAACCGCTCGTACGGTCTGACTCTGTCAGCAGAACGCGCCATTATCCCTGCTAGCCATCAATTTCATAGGCTATTGACGCCAAAGGGTGACCTCGATATGAGAAGACTGGCTATTGCGAATTGGATGGTATTGAGACAGCAGGACGGAACTGCGGCTGGATAATTATGAGAAACTGGCAAGCTGACAAGAAGCATGGTCTTGGAGACCCGCCATACTGGAACAAATGAGCCGAGCTCTGGGTGAGGTGGGAATGACAGATCCGGAAGCTGTGCAGGTCTAGCCTCAGCCTTGGGGAGTACGCGCGCGGCGCGAGGAATGAGCTGATACCTTGGGGGTGATTCCTTCTGCGCACTCGAACAGGCAACAAAACAGAGACAGATGCAGTAGAAGCAGCAGAGATAGCCTTCCTGCTGTGTCTGGTTTGGGTAACCACATACCCGTCAGGAGTACCCACAAAATAACCACAAGTTGAAGCACGAGCAATGAGCCCCTGTTAGCTTCAAGAAGGAGAATGAATTCCCCACAATGCATTCCCACGACCAGTAGAAACCCTTAAGGTCAAAAGCACATACTTATCCCCCGCGCTGCTACAGCCTCGCCCCATGACCACCGTCAACCGGTCTCACCACAAACCCGAGTCTGGGAAAATGAACTCTAGCCTGACCAACGCCAACAGTTGGTCCAGTGGGCTTCCCCTCCTCCTTCGGTGCGATGACCACCTCTTCCGGCGTGATTGCCAACAACGTCCCGATAGACGGACTGCTTCGGCCCGTATCGTCAGGAGCAACACTAACAATCACCCCTGGGACCAAACCATTCCTCTTGTCCAGTGAGACATGTGACCCTGCAGGAGTAGGAAGTAAAGTGATATTAGCAGACACTCCAGTAGACCGTGACGTCCGTTCTCCTCCTTCTCCCGACCCACCAGTATGACCATCTGCCAACGGCCAAGCTTTGATCTCCTCCAGAACCTGCTGAATCTTGACCTCATCCAATTTCTCGACTCTTGTCTCCGTACTTGGCAAACCATCAAAGAACTTCTTGACACGAGCAAACCATGCCGAGAGCCCAGGATATCGTTGCTCATTGAACACACTTGCCACTGCCACTCCCACTCCCGTTCCTTCTTGTTTTCCCAAAGAGGTCGCTTTTGGTCCGTTTTCCACCTCTCCACCACTGAGGTCGGCAACTCCCTCTCCGCGACTGATTTTCTCCCCCCAATCAAGTTGGTAATAGAGTGCGATATCTGCCGCGCTGGGAGTTTCGCCGTCGAAGATCCACTGACCACCAGTAGTAGTAGACCCCTGAAAAAGCGGCTCCAACAAACTCAAATGCAGATCCAACGCACTCAAGTTCTCGGGAACCTTGCGCTCCAGCTTTTCCGCGTCGAGACTGTGGCCGATGAGATTGGCGCGGTCAGTGCCAAATTTGCTTCGCCACACGGTGCTGGGGATCAGGCCTGTAGTGACGCGGAACAGTGGCTTATCTGTCCAGTAGGACGCAAAGCCACGAATAAGTGGACGGTGACGGTTGTAGGGGGAGGAGGAGTTTGAGGAACGATTATTCGACTTGGTGGCCGACGGTGATGGAGAGGGATAAAGCGTGCCATATCCCTTGGAGGAAGGGAATTGGTGTTCGAGGACTTCGAGGATCAATGAGGTGTCGATGTAGATCTGTGTAATGAGTCTCATTAGCTCTTCGCCCCCAGGCTCACAGCCGGTCTTGAACAAAGCAGACTGGATGCCAGAAGACCATCAGACAAGCAAGACAGGCTAGGCCAGAGTCAGCTGTATAGTATCTCCGAACGACCTTCTGAACGTCTCCCATCTGGCACTGCTATTTCGTAGCTCCGGAACTACATACAAGGGAGAAACACACAGAGCCCCGGATGAAAAAGGAAAGGGAGAGGGAGAGGCAAAGGGAGTGGGAAAAGAGAACCAACAAGTTGACTGTCAAAAGCTGTTTGCTCTTAGACGCCAACAAGCTGTCCGTCTGTCTCTGGTTTTCTCTTTCCATGCCTCCCTCTGTAGACTGTCCTTTGCATCCCGTCCTTGTTCAAGGTCGACACTTACATCTCGCCCAATCACCAAAACCGGAATCTTTCGATACGTAATGTTGAACTTATCCCGCAAGATCGGCCGGGGCATCATAGACGGGACGATGACGAATGCTATGATTTTTTGGGACTAATTAGCAAAACACGCCCCGGAAGAACGGCTCCATCGACAAACCCCCAGTGATTTTGCTATCACTCGCTCGAAGAGAGCCTCGAGCATCCATAACATGTATCCCAACACCATATACGACACGTTCATTTTGACCAAGTCAAAAGCCCCAATGCCGAAGGTCCAAAGCATCAAAGAAGATAGGGGATTATTGCCAGTGACTCACTATAAGGAATTTGCTTCAACTTGAGCGTAAGCCTGACTTTCTGGGTAAATGGTGAAGCTGGCCAAGTTAGGATTCGGAAGATTCAATCAATCAATTAATCACTCGAGCAATTCATTCATCAACCATTCAAATCAGTCAGTGTGGATCTGGATCTCTCGAATCAAAATCCAAAAGGAAGTATATCATATCATATCATGGGCACCGCATAGCAGAGGACAAACAAGACATCCGGTCGATCGACCCATTCACCCGTCCGACAAAGCCTTCTCTGATAGAGAGGGCACCCCCTCTTCCTCATCCTTTACTCTCCCCCGTCAACCCTATTTCTCGGATTCTTCAGCAGCACGCACAAGAAAAAGTTCGGCAGATGCCGCCAAGGCAAAATATCCAGATCACAAGGCAGACGCAGAGACAGGGATGGGTGAACAATCAGTCCGTCACTCACAATCATATCCGAACAAAACCACAGGTGGCTCAGGCTCACTAGATCGAGGGGTCGCCATGATGTTGGATTCTGTGGATTGCTAGCACCAACCAGAGGTCCCTGGGTAGGAGGTTTTCTCGAGAGTAAAGACCAGGCCCTCCGGACGGATCTCAATATGGATATATCTAGACACTTGAAGTACTACTGTTGAGTCACACAAATGCATCGAAAGGCGTAGCCGATGCCGTTGCCGTTGCCGGCCGAATGGGTGAATAAACTCCGCTTCTAGGCTGAAGCACCCTGAGCCTCGGATGTAGGAATACCAAGAAATATGGAAAATTATAAATAATCATTGTGCCCAGCTCAAAGGAGCAAATCATGCATCATTGCGTTACGTGAGGGATAACCCATGTTGGCTGTCCTAAAGGAGTCGATATATCTCCCCGATTACTTATCACACCAATTCTATCTTGGTTGCATTGTTCAACAGTGGCACCCGGAACAAAGCGTACGGCTTCACCCGCCTGTCCACTCCGCCCTGTTGCGCCGGTGCTCTCCATAACTGGTTCTCTGTAAAGTACAAGTAATTGCCGGCGGTCGAAAAGGTGTCTGTCCATTGAATCCTGGGGTCCCTCACGTATGTAGACACCGTCCCGTTTCGCGGGTTGAAGATAACAATTGAATCGGTTTCCACGCTCCCCCCATAGACAATCCCGTTAGAATCGCTTTCTAGCCCATCGCTCACGCCCTTATGGCCCAAGTCCATAACCGAGGCTTGAGCGAACAATTCTGAGGAAGCGCTGCGGTCCCGAAGTCGTAAAGTGGGCACCGCATACAAATGACGCCCTGAGACGACGCTGAAGTATAAGGTCTCGCCATCGTTCGAGAGCGTAATGCCATCAGCTCCAAACGAAAGTCGCGAAATCGGCATGCCATTTCCGGGATCGTTGTAGACAGGCTCCCCCCATACGCTGACAAAGAACCCCGGCTCCGGACGCGCCTGGGGGATGTTCTCTAGATGGCGCCATGACTCACCCGTCCCCAAATCCACAACGATAATGCCATTACGCCCTTCACTTGACGAATCCGTGATGTAAGCAATGCCCTGCCCGGATGCCGAGACGGAAGGGCGCAGGTCAAACCGGACATCATTCGGATACGAATCAGCATAAGCGACTGTGGCGGGAAAGAGGATAGTTTGAAAGATTGTGTTGTTGGTCAAGTCTATCCCGATGAGCTTGGGTCCGCCAAACTTCGAAGTCGTAAGAGTGCCATTTGGAAGAGCTGCTCGGCCGGTATCGAGAATCCAAAGCCGGTCTTTGGGGTCTATCACGACACTTTGAACTCCAATCAAATAATCCGGCAATCCTTTGGAGCTGGCAGGGTAGGTCGAATAGTCTATTGCACCTCCAGGCGGAGAATTGATCTCAGCACTTGGGTATGGCGTCTCTGTGTTGTTGGAAGCCAGCTCTGCGACTTGATACTGGGTGTTTGTTGGATCAAGGCCAAGAGGATAGTTGGAGAACATGCGTCCTGAGGCAGAAACAGCAATGCCTACGGGATGTTATGCCGTGAATCAAACATGGAGGTAAGTCGACTTACCGGTCGGCCATTCATCGTAGTACAGATGTACTAGCTCCAGCGCAGGCCCTGCAGTGACCGGATCCTGAACAACCTGCTGGCATGTTGTGCAACGCAGGATCGCCAGATATATAAGACTTTTGTACCATCCCAACATCGTGAACGTCGACTATGAAGTGGTTGAAGCCAGTGATAACCAGAAGTCGTGAAGAGATTCGTAACGAAAATATAGCAGCGGACATGAAAGCTGGCCTGACTTTCCATTTGCAATATAGCCGTAGGACAGGAGCGACCCATCATGAGCTCATGCGGAGAGAAGGTGCCACAGGCGCTGACCTCAACAATTGCCGTCGACTAATACGGAATAACTTGTCCGCAATGTGAGCGGGAACGCACGGCCCGGAGATTGACATGATTGGTGTGCCTTGTACCTGAGCCATGGAGCTGCTGATTGTGGTCTGGTGTTGTTGCAGGGGTCCGGATGATCGACGTCACCATCGACGATCGACAATATGGCACCACGGACAGCTTTGGAGCCTTTGTAAATGGCTGGATAAGGCAGATATCATGTGTTTTGCTTCAGTAGATTTTGAGTCCGCAGCATTCAATCGAGGTTGGCCGCACCACAGCCTTGCGCCTCCACCACAGCTTCACCAGCTCCTCGACAAAGGCCCGGTCAGAAGCACTCCAACTGTCTAATCCCATCGCCGCCATGTCTTCTGGCGTGATTTCGACTTCGTTCTGTTTCCGCTCTTCGGGTAAAAGAGCCTGTGTTTCGTCCTCATCAACGATACCGGCTTGTCCTACCTCATCTCGCTCCATCCCATCCGTACTCTCCTCGGCATTGCTTGCGTCGTGATACGATGATGTTCCTGAACCTGAAGCGTCATTGCGTGCAATAGCTTCGGCGATGGTTTGAAATATGGTCTCTGTCATGCGATGGAAATATGCGACTAGTGCGACCTCACGACTCTGCTCTTTGTCAACCTCTTCCTCATCGTGCAAAAGAGCCCGATCTTGTTCCGTCTCCGCTTCTTCCGTGTCGCCGAACCCGCCGCGTCTATCTCCAGCAGAGGCCCACCAAATCAGAGAGTTGTACGCAACGCGGGACCATGACGGAGGCTCGACGATGGCCTTATTCACAGAGTATGTCGACATCCTTGACGACATGATTGAGCTGGCCTCCGTATCATTATTCGAATCACCGTGGGGTGCCACCTTGCTTGGCAAGAACTTGCGAAGGCCTTCTTGAAGACGGACAAATCTGTGAAAGTCTCGCTGTGTTGACTTGACACCCGTTTTTGGGAATGCTTTGGTCAATTCTGGTGTCGACATGACCATCCGAGGAAAGACCTTTTTGGCAGCATTTTCCGACCCCGATTGAGGCATCAGAACAAGCACGTCGTAGAGATGCGGTTTTGTGCTCAATACATCGTCCGTAGTACATGCGATCCAACTATCATTGGCGAACGCTGCAGCATCCGGAGAAGGCTTGCTCGCTTCAAGTTGCGGGATGTCGCCTACGCCCACGGTGAATAATGGCCGAAGTCGAAGACACGGAGTATCGATTGAAGGCACGTATGATAATAGCGCCCGCGATACAGATGACAAGATGGACATGTTATATACTGTCATTCGTCAGTCATCATGAAGAGCAAACCGCAGCCGGCTTACCAAGATTACAACTGGATTGCACCGGAGTGTCTGCAACAATCAAGATACGCTTGCGAAGTAGAGCCGCCCGGTAGAGAGGGAATAGCAGCGGTCCGAAAAGGTCTGCGGAATCCAACAGCGTCAAGGCAGGATGGTGAGGAGCCAGCGTGTGATGTGATGGTAGATATGCGGTTGCTGTGCTCATTGCCCTGGATTTCCTATACCCGTTTGCCGACGGGTCAGTATGGAAGTAGTCGGCGGCCCCGTCATGCTGCTGCTCGGACCGATTTTCTGGACAAAGTTTGTATTTCTCCCAATATTCTTCTAGGGCAGTATTGTTCGTAACATCCTTGATTTGAGCCCTATGTGCGTCAACATTCCGTTCAGCCAGGAGACGAGGTTTCCGCACCTGGCAAGTGCCTGAAGTGCCTCTGCATGGCGCCAACTCCTTCCAGTCCGACCCTGTTCAAGTGGAACCAAGACACCAACGGCCAGCATGCGGGCGGCCCGTTCGGACTCTCCATCAGGTTTGTTTATGAACGCGCTGAGACCGCTGTAGTCGTCGTGAATGAAGTATCTTCAGATGCACTCAGTCATGTCCCCCCTCAAGAACTGTGGCACCACTCACACCAGATCCTCTTCGACGTTGTGTAGGCCCGAGGGCAGTGATTTGAATTCGACGACGCCCTCGACCTGGGCTGCGGTCTCGAGTCAGCGAAAAATACGGCGAACGAAGGGGCAACTAACCTCCGTCGACCGACCTATGCCATACTAGCGTGTATCTCTGTAGTGTCAGTACGAGTCCGAGAGCCTGAGGATATGCAAAGACACACCCTTTGCGATGGTCGAAGTTGACCAAGAACGCTGCGGCTATTGGAGGCACAGGAGGCTCATTGCTGGTGTCAATCCTCAGTGGATTGTGGTCCGCCATATGTCTGTGGCTCTTATCGTGATATGGATGCAATTACATTGCCACAGCATGAGAAATGCGCGTCACTGGAGATGTCATAGGCTGCTGGCCATCGTTCTGACGGACACCCGCTCTATACAATGTATGTTCGGGCTCCGAGATGCGTCAATTGAGTCCTCGATGTCGGTCTCCGCAGTAGCGAGTTTGGGGAAGCCTGCTAACGTAATCGGTAATCCAAAGGGAAGGAAGGTTTACCGGCACTGTGCCAGCGGCCACCGTTCTGTTACATAATCACAGTACATCATGAGGAACACCTGAGGAAAAGTATTTCCCAAGCTCATTACATGCTCATTCTAAGAGAGTCCCTCAAAAGCGTGGGAGGGAGCCTGCCATTTACGGCGTTATCTAATGAATACGCTGCTTCTTACGATCACGACTTGCCTTCTTGATCAGCTCAGTAGCCCTTTGCCAGAGACCTGTCCCCTGACGATTTTGACTCGAGGTCTGGTCAAGGACAGTACATGCCTAGTAACCGATTTCTCTAGACAAGAGCTTGGACACCCTCAGTCTTCTTGAAGATATACGCGACGCCGCCTCCTGCCAGCATGTCAGGTGGAAGACGCACAATGTGTTCCAAACACACATCATCGATGGCGGATATGATTGGTCTTGCAGAGTCATTATCGGCCTCTTGCATCCTGCATAGGTTCGACGTGTCCAAGTGCACAAATCTCATCAGCTCCTGAGACTCGGCTTCACGATCCGGCTTCTGCTCTGGAACTGGCGACAGCGAAGACCGCATTTTTTCGAGCATTCGTGAGGACGGTGTCGGCCTACCAATGGTATCTGTAGTGATTTCAGAAATATCTGGGAAATCCTCCTCTGATTCGGAGCGTTCGGCAAGAGAAGAATTCTCATGTCCATCATCTGGCGATTGTGTGCTGCTTTTCACCAGTTCATCTTTCTGTCCCAGTCCCTTGCACCCACATTCGATCAAGTCATGCGTTCGCAATCCGTCGGTTTCGTCAAGCCTGAAAAGGTCTTTCAGTTCGTCCTGGCTGAATGTCGTAATCTGTCCACCTTTACCGCTTGATTTGGCTAGCCCGGAGGACGCAGCAGAACCCCCTTGCATAATACTGCTGGCCAGTGCTCGCTTGACCACTTGGCGTTGCCAAATTCTCTCTTCTATTCCGCCTTTGATCAGGAATCGGTAAATCTTACAATGCCGCTTCTGTCCTTGCCGATGGATACGCGCGACAGCTTGATCGTCAGTGGCAGGATTCCAGTCCACGTCGAAGAGAATAAGCCGGCTCGCACCGATGAGATTGAGGCCCACTCCACCCGCCTTCGCGCTTAGCAGGAATGCGAATGACTGAGTGGACTTTGAGTTGTTGAACTGGTCCACCAGTCCCTGTCTCTTCTTCGCGGCGATTGATCCGTCAAGTCGTAAATAGGGAAGATTGGAGTTGACCAGTAATTGTTCAATCAAATTCAGTGTTGACGTGTAATTTGAGATCAGAACGACTTTTTCGTTGGTATTGGCCCGGATCTGCTGCAACAGCTCGTCGAGAAGTCTGATCTTGCACGAAAGAGAATTATGATACAGCTTAGAAAGCCCTTCAGGAAGCATTTCATTCAAAGTTGTAAGCGATGAGGATGGGGTGGAGTCCTCGTTGCCATATTTGGGATTCATCAGAGCGGGACTGTTACATAGCTTTTTCAGAATGGTAATCAGTTGAAAGGCGCTCTCGCTGCTCCTCAGAGCGCTATGAAACATAGCAGACTTGAGTATGTTCCGGTAGATCTTTGTCTGTGCTTGTGTCGGTTTGCAGAACAGGACGTACTCTGTTTTTGGAGGCAAGAAATCGGACAAGATATCAGCTGTTCTGCGGAGGATAAAGGGAGATGTCGTGCGAGCCAATTCTTCGCTGGCATCACGGCCTCGTTCGATTTCCTCTTCAGATGCATCTGGTTGACGACTTCTTATGATTGGCTTTTCAAAGTCTCTAATAAAGCCTTTCTGTGAGCCTAAACAGCCATCATTGACAAAGTTGACCATAGCGTAAAACTCGCCAAGATCATTCTGTATAGGTGTACCCGACAGAATGATCCTCCGGCGAGTGTTGAGCGACTCGATAGCCTGGGCGTTCTTGTTTTTCATGGTCTTCAGGCGATGGCCCTCGTCGCAAATGACAATGTCGATGGGATGGCCTTGGGCAAGGTCATCAGCCACCATTCTAAGCCTGTCGTATCCGATAATCATCACCTGATAGACTCTGCCGTCGAAATCCCTGACATGGGTGCTCTGGTCCTCAAACTCGAGCACGCCTAACCTGTCTGACCCGAGCCATTTCCTAAATTCTCGCTTCCAATTTCGAATCAACGAAACTGGGCAGACGATGAGAGCCTTCCTTATGACAGGTGGGCCTCTGTGTACCGGAGACTGCCGGAGTAATGTCCATAAAAGTGCAATTGTGGTCAAGGTCTTGCCCAGGCCCATGTCATCTGCAAGGATACACCCCTGGCCGCCATATTCGCGCAGTCCCATGACACATTCATACAGAAATTGCACCCCTTCTTTTTGGTGAGGTCTTAGCAGCTTTCCCAGAAGAGGATCTAGGACCACATCAACTGTCTGGCGGCCCGGTGGCGGATGTTTCGGTCTCTTGAACACAACTGCGCCAGCTGCGTTGGGGTCATGTCGAGGAGTGGGCGCCTCAGACGCTCCTTGCGGACAGAGCGTGCTCTCTTTAAGCGGCTGTTTAAATGCTGACGGGCGATGTGACTGCGACGGGCCTTGTCCCTGAGTCTGTACTTCTTGCTTTCGGATTTGAGCTTTCATCTGAGCCTGTATGCTGAGTTTTGGTGGCTGGATCGCTGATGAGCTGGAAAGAGGCTTAGAGGCAGGCTCTGGATGAGACCCGCTTTCGGCAGTATTGGTTTTGACGAGAGCAAGATGTTCATCCTTCGCGATACAAGAGTCGACCTCGACTTCCTTGCCGCCAATGGATAAGGTGGAACCAGGCAGCAAGGGTGCCGAAAATGCTGTACGACCGATGCTCTTCCCGGACTCATTGTATAGCGTGGCGTACCCACCGGCAACTGCAAGGTGTCCGTCATTTGTCCAGGTTTTGTTCTTCTTGTTCGTAGGGAGGCGCCTAGTGAAGTGTCAACCAATGCAATCCTTTCATGGTCTCAAGATCCTACCATAGCACTGAGTAATAACTTGCGAGACCATCTGTGTCCGGCTTCTCCGTATTATCAATAGGGCTCGACGGGTTCGGTAGACTCTGCAGCACCGGTCTTGTAGGCTTGTATAAGGCTCTGCGCTCGCCGGCGGGCCCATCCTGCCTAGTTGCAGAGGAATTGGTCGTGTTTTCGGGAGGGCTGAGCTTTCTTCGTTTGTTGGCTGGGGTCGCGTCTCCGTTCGCCTGATGGCTAGTAATGGGTTTTCGAATGCTCAAAGGCTTGAACGGCTTTGACAACATGACGGGAACGAGCATGGGATTCCCCGTGTCGGCCTCCTATGCACTGAAACTTGGGGAAACTCCTCGTGCATGTACAAGTAATAGTGCGCCTGCAAACGCAGAAACGCGTCGCGTGAACGCGAAAAGACGCCGAGATATGGGAAAACGCGCAGTCACGTGAAAGTGGACAGACCAGATGTGATTTCACGGAGGACTTGTCCTATTTCAACGGGGCCTAGAGCCTCGTCAGACTATATACTTTCTAGAGGTTATACGATAGCGTACGATACTAGTCGAGACCGAAAGACGATCCTCGACGTCTTTATAATACTTAGTATATAGAGTATCTATTTTATTATATTCTTCTCTATCTAGACCGTTAAATAGTCTTATTCGTTATCGAAGAATATCGAGTATCTTTATTAGCCTTATAGTAGAGAATAAAATAGTATTTCTATATTCTAAATACTTTATTTTCTAGATAGTTCTATTATTAGAATAAGTATCTATAGTATCTATATCTTCGGTATCGATTAAGATATATAAAGCGAATATATATCTCTTATCTTTAGCTATAGAAGTAGTATATACGCCCGAAATAGTAAAGCTAAATAAATCGAAAGTAAATTAAGATCGTTAAGATAATAAGTAAAGAGAGTCTATATACGTAATAGTACTTATCGTTACTCTTTAAAGCTAACTCGGGATTAATTCGGCGGAGTTTTAAGAAGTATAAGTAGACGTCTCTTACTTCTTTTCTTCTTACTTTCTTTTATACCTCTTTCTAGTTATTTATATTTCTAAGCTCTAAGTTCTTTATCGATTAAAGCTAAATCTTCTATAACTACTATTATAATTAATATATTATCTAGATAAGTTAAAACGTCGACTAGACTATAAATTCTAAATACTTAGTACTATTAACGAGTTAAGAAAATAATTAAAGATCTACTAGTAACTAAGACGGCGAAGATAGCTTCTTTCGTAAGTATATCGTACTATATCGAAAGATATAGTTACTAATTTATTTCTAGATCGATAATAATATTTATAGCGTTAAGTCTAGCGATATAGTAGTTAATTCTATTATTTAGGCGAAATAATACTAGAAGTAGTTCTTTTCTTCTAATAATAGCTTATCGATTTAGCTATATAGTCGTATTTCTCGAAGACTTATCGAATTTTACGGTTAGAGAGATATTACTAATATATACGTTAGAAATACCCTTATAGAATATATAATAGATATCGTAAATAATCTATATTATAAAATATATCTTTATATAATTAAACTAGACTTATATCGAGAGCCGATATTCCTAGAGTACGTTTCGATATCTATCTTTAATACGCCTATTTCTATAGATTTAGTATATCTTTTCGACGGAAAATATATAATCTATACTATTCGCGAAGTTAATTATTCTTTATTTAGTAATCGAGGTATAAGTAGCGAAGCTTCTAGTCGTTATCGATCTACTACGTTAATATTAATATTTATTTAAATACGTAGTACTAAGAAATATCGTACTCGATTCTCTAAAATATAGAAAGAAGATCTAGTAGAAGATATAAGAGAGATATATTTTAGCGAGAGAATAAGTAGTCTATATATAGCCGACGAGACTAGAGAGATAAGTAGTTATATAGCTATTAAGATTAAAGATCTAGAGAATAGATTCGACTTTATATTATTACTATAGATAGATATAGAAGATCGACGTTAAAAGATATTAATCGCTATCTAGAAGATAATATAGTAGACTTTAGATCTATACTATATATCGAAAACTATTAAAGTTATTCGTAGAATCGGTAAATCTAATATATATATAGAGTAATACTCTTTACTAACGTCGACTTAATAAAGTTATTATTCTATAATATCTATATCTTTAGTAAGAATAGAAGTTATTAAGACTAATCCGGAGTCGGAAGAATACGACTATATAGCTAATAAGCTACTACTAAGATACTATTAGTATACTATCGATTCTTCTCTTAAGCTATTATTATAGATATAAAGTTTATCTAGGCGTATATCGGAAATACGTCGTTATACTAAAGAGACTATATAATATATATCTACGTCTCCCGAGCTAGTATATAACTCTAAGCGTAGTTAGATTATAATATAGTAACGATTCGTACTAGTCTTATCTTCTATAGATTTATCGATATAGTCTATATAAGACTATATATTAACTTACTCGATACTAGAATGTCCGTCTTTTTATTATCTAGCGTATAAATAGCCTACTATTTCTACTTATTCTATATATAATATTCGTCCGCTATCTATCTATATATAGTAATCGAGCCCTACTTCTAGTTTAGGCCTTTTAGGGTATTCTTACTATAAAACGATAGCGTCGATAGGAGTACTACTACTAA